CAGGTTCTTCCGAGGACTGCCCGGGGGAGGTGTGTCTGTGCCCATTTTACAGACGGGAACCCGCGGCGGCGCTCTGTTTGGAGGGTGAATTCTCCATCCTTTGTGGCCAGCGCTGACCCATCATCCCTAACAGGCTGGTGGGACGCCGTGGAGACTCCATAGTCTTAACTTAAATAGTAAAAGTGACCCCGGGTCTCCCAGATCCTGTTTTCGTGGCAGAACAGAAAGATAAACCAGGCGTAGTGATGGGAATAGACTAAATCACTAATTTAATCACAGTTTGAAGCGGGTAAAAGCTTTCCGGGCCGCGGATGCCTCCTGTCTTCGAACCACCTGTATGCAATCCACAGAGACCGGGAACGTCTGCCCCGCCAGCACCGTGGTAGGCTGGTAGTTCTTAGGGCCCAGGAGCTGCCTGACGTTTTTAAAAAATATATATATTTTATTGATTTTTTTTTTTTTTTTTTTACAGAGAGGAAGGGAGAGAGAGTTGGAGACATCCATGAGAAACATCAATCAGCTGCCTCCTGCACACCTCCCACTGGGAATGTGCCCACAACCAAGGTACATGCCCTTGACCGGAATCGAACCTGGGACCCCTCAGTCCGCAGGCCGGCTCTCTAGCCACTGAACCAAGCCGGTCTCTGAGATACCTGACGTTTTAAAGGGGTCCCACTTATTGGGGCGCAGAATAATTGGGATTTTGAGGGTGAAAATGATACCTCTCCTTGCTGCTGCAACAACTGTTGATACTTTTCGCTACTTTAAAAAAAAAACAATGTGGCAAGAGGAAGGTAAACATCAAAGACAGTGAAATAGAAACCATTCTTGTGGTTTCCTATGTGTGTATGTTTTTTTAGAATGTAACTTCTGAAACATTAACATTCTTTCGATTTTTAGAAAAAGAATAAAAGAATCTGGAAAAGTTGGACAAGATAAAATATATTCAGTCTTCAAACTAGGAAGATCAACAAAGCAGGTAAGCTCTGGGAGATCAAGTGAATGTAAAATAAATTTTCAGAAAAATTTTACTTTCTGGTTAAATTGCATCATTTCTTTTTTAGTTTGGGGGAACAGGTTGATGCCAACATGCAGGAAAACAGTACAAATAGATCTGACGGTGGGGTTTAAAAAAAAAAATTTGAATGAGTTATGGTGATCTTTTACTGTTTTGTACAATTAAAAAAAATTTTATTAATTTTTTAGAGAGGAAGGAAGAGGGATAGAGAGCTAGAAACGTCTATGAGAGAGAAACACCGACCAGCTGCCTCTTGCACACCCCCCACTGGGGATGTGCCCGCAGCCAAGGTACATGCCCTTGACCGGAATCGAACCCGGGACCCTTCAGTCCGCAGGCCGACGCTCTGTCCACTGAGCCAAACCGGTTTCGGCTGCTTTGTACAATTTTTATGTACAAAAACATCTTAAAAACGTAGCCTACGTGTATAGGAGATGCAGTTGTAGCGTTTCTAAAGTAAGCCTTTAATTGCATGACATGTGCTTTTTATCAGTTAGGGCCACGAAGATGGGAGCCCCAATCTGGGTGGTGGCACTTTTTGCAGAGTAATAGCTGACTCACACTGTAAGTCCTAGAGCAAGTCATCTCACTCTCTAATGTGGTAAATATTTAGTGACTGTAAAATGTAATGAATGTTTTATATCCCCTCATGTGTAGAGATGAAAGGCAACGACACATTAGTGAATTAAAACTTAAAAATATTGTTTGCACAGGGGAATGGACAGTGACACTTCTGGTTCTGCTTCATTCTCCATCATTGGCTGCCAGTGCTGACCCATCCGTAACAGGCTGGTTAGACATGGTGGAGACTCCATAGGAAATCAGTCCTCAGCAGAAAGACTGCATACAAAGTTTAAAAATTCAAACATGTGTTTTTGATATTTCAACATGAGAAATTTGTGAAATAATTTACTAGATGATGTAGCCTCAGGTTTCTTCCTGAAAAGATTTTTTTTTATATTCCTATTTCTTGGTAACTTTTCAAAGAGAAGCAGGAAATCTTGAACTAATTACCGATTTTTACTTGGGATTTTAGTACTCATTGGAGGAAAATAGCATTTTATATTGGATTAATGAAAGTATATCACTTTGGTAATAAAAGTGTATGGCTTCAGCTAGGCTCTCTAGAAATTTTTTTTTAAACCTGAGAGTATTTTTATTGTTGTTTCTCGTCAGTAAATTACACTTGGCTGGGCACAGAATTCTAAGGTCATGTTATTTTCCTGTGGTTATTGCTACATCGTCTTCTAGGATTCCTTATTGCTTTGGAGATGTTTTATTTGCTAAGTTGTAACCAACATCTGAAGACGTGGCATGTCCAAGATGGCTTTTTCACTTCCATTTTTGACACCTCATTGCTTCTCCAATTGGCTCTCAGCAGAGTAGCCTGGACTTTTTACTTAGCAGTTTGTGATTTTAAGAGGCAGCAACCTATCAGGCTAGTTAAGGGCCATACCCAGAACGCTTACAGCATCACTTGTGCTGTATCCTGCTGGTCAGAGCAGTCACACACGTCCTGTCTAGACTTTTTTGGGGGTTTGGAGGGCGGGAGAATAGATTTTATCTGTTGATGGGGGAGTACCAGTAAAGTCACATTACAGGAGAGCATATGTGGGTGATAATTGTTGTGGCCATCTTTGGAAATTAGTCTCCCCAAGGAGAATTTGGAGACCATTATGTTTTTGTGCTCTTTTTTTTAAATTTTTTTTTTTTAGGTATCTTTTCTGCTAGGATGTTTGTAGTATCTATTGCCTTTATTTCTTTTTTTTTTTTTTTTTAATTTTCTATTTTTAATTACATGTTAATAGTTGAAATTAAAACATCAGTATTTTAAGTTTATAATGAAAAAAAAAAAAGCAGCTCTCTGCCCTCTTTCTCTCCACTCCTGATTCCTGCACTCCAAAAGCAAGCACTTTAATTTCTTTTAATAATTTCTTTTCATATTTGCTTAGTATCTATATCAGTGGTCAGCAAACTCATTAGTCAGCAGAGCCAAATATCAACAGTACAACGATTGAAATTTCTTTTGAGAGCCAAATTTTTTAAACATCTAATGCCACTTCTTCAAAATACTCACCCAGGCCGTGGTATTTTGTGGAAGAGCCACACTCAAGTGGCTCGCAAGCTGCGGTTTGCCGACCACTGATCATACTAATAAAAGGGTAATATGCTAATTAGACAGGGAGACCTTCTGGACAAAGCCATGGTGGCGGGTGATCAGGCCAGGAGGGGAGGGCAATTGGGGATGATCAGGCCAGCGGTGGGGGCAGTTCGGGGAAAGCAGGCCAGCAAGGGGGGCCAATTGGGGGCAAGCAGGCTGGCAGAGGGGGTCAGTTGGGGGTGAGCAGGTGAGAGTTCTCTTTCTGGTTTACAGATGGCTATTTTCTTGCTGGGTCTTCATATGGTGGAGAGCAGAGAGAGAGAGAGGGAGGGAGGAAAAAGAGAGGATGGGTGCGTGTTTATTTTTGAGAACTCTGTCAAAACTATTTTAGTCAACATTGAAAAGTTACTGTATAATAAAAATGTAGTATGCAAATTGTCCCCTCATCTGGGAGTTCAACTAGGGTCAGGGCCAGCAGGGGGAAGGGAGAGAGTACCTGGCTGGCAGTCAGCAGCCACTAGGAACCCTATCAGTGCACGAATTTCATGCACTGGGCCTCTAGTTTTTGTATAGAATTTTTGGTTGTAAGCCATTTTTTCCATGAGAATATGGGGTGGAGCAAAGATAGGTTTACAGTTGTGAGTACATGAAACTTATTTTTGTATTATTAATTATTGAGTTATTATTAACAAACTTTTGCCCATCTCTGTATTTAAGGCATTACTTCATTACCTTATAGAGTCCAGTGTTGTTACATACATACAACATAGCTAAAATCCAACATATTTATCCTAGAAAATATACATAGCAGAAGTTTTTTGCTCCTTTTCTTCCCATTAAAAGTTTAGGCTGGTTATGGAAAATTTCTGGTGCATAAAAGTTCATACTAGTTCCTGGAAGAACAATAACTAGCTATATATCTTTTGTTTCTCAGGCAGCAACCAGAGTCAGAAAGTTCCTGGTTTTATAGTTCTTGTCAACTAGACTTGCTTCTCAGTATCTGACTCCTCATGAATTTGTTGACTAAAATTAGTTCTTAATAAATCAGCAAGAAGAGGCTAGCTAGTCTGAGTAGAATTTGATTTCTGTATTTTTAAGTTTTTCACACATTTCTAATGAAATTTTATTAAAAATTTTATGTATTGTGGAAGTAACTTTGAGACCATAATACTTGCTTCCATTTTTATATGAGCTCAGGAGATATTTTCTTTACAGTATTGCTAATATCCTCATTTGAAAGAAAGTTGAGCTTTTGGGTTCCCTAAATGGGGTCTTAGAAAATGTTTTGTAGCTTTTGACAAATATAGGGCTTTGGAGGGAAAGGTTGCATTCTGTTTCAAGGAAAATTTTTGTACTTAAACATTAAATAGTTCTAAAATTAAATCTAAATTGAATATATGTCCACTGCTCTTTTTATTTCCTGTTACATACTATTCTGTCCCTTCATGACGTCACTGAAATACTGAGAAACGTGTTTTCTTTGGTGGTTCTGTATGATTTCGGAGCTCTTTGTAGATACAGGGTAGAGTCATAAAGTCTCCCCAACATGTACTCACTTGAATTTATGTGCAGTGAGTGCCATCCAGTTACGTTAGTTTCCTGGAATGTTTCACAGGTGAAGCTTAGTTTCTGTGTGACACATCCTGGTTTATTAGGGCTCTGAATATTGGTCTGAATGGAGTGTATTTTCTGATGTACTCAACTGTTACAGCTTTCCTAAGAGTAGAGATTTTGCTGTTTTAAAGAAACAAAAAAACCCCTAAGATCTGACATTAACATTAGTCTCTTAAGAGGCAGTGTTTACTTGTGAGTGAAAGCCTACTATGTGTCATATTTTGTGCTTGGACGAAATTTCTGTCCTTATTGCAGGTTTACATTCCAATGAGTAGAAAAATGTTACAAAATAAAATCCAGGTAAGTGCTGTGAAGTGTAAGTGCAGCAGTTTAGCTGAGATTAACAAGGGCATCTAATCAGGAGATAAGTTGAGATTTAAAGCATGAATGAGTTTGGTTTTGAAAATGGTGAAAGGAGCATAGAGCTAGAAAGTCTAAAGAAGTTTTTATGTTTACTAAAAGTGTAATTTGTTTTCTTCTAAAAAAAATATTTTTATTGATTTTTAGAGTGGGAGGGAGGAGAGAAACACCAGTGTTAGAAGGAACATAGATTGGCTGCCTCTTGCACACTCCCTACTGAGGATCGAGTGTGCAACCGAGGCATGTGCCTTGATCTGGGCACGAGTCCTGCTTGGGAATAGAACTGGCAATCTTTCGGTGCACAAGACAATGCCTAACCAACTGAGCCACACCAGCCAGGGTGAAAGTATAATTTGTTTTCTCAAACTTTTATTTATTTATTTTAGAAGAAATATGTGTCTATTGTTTCACCTTTAAAAAATATATATATTTTATTGATTTTTTTATAGAGGAAGGAAAGAGCTAGAAATATCCATGAGAATCATCGACCAGCTGCCTCTTGCACATCCCCTACTGGGGAATGTGCCCGCAATCAAGGTACATGCCCTTGACCGGAATCAAACCTGGGATCTTTCAGTCTGCAGGCCAATGCTCTATCCACTAAGCCAAACCGGTTCCGGCTATTTTCTCAAACTTTTATTAATCTTTTTATAGAGGAGGATTTGATAATTACCTGAATGACATTTGGGTTTTTTGTTTTGCTTTTCAAGATTCTTGAAACAGTGGTGTGACTTGATTTTTCCCTGTTGGGTTAAGTAAGACCTAAGGATTGTGGTTTGCATTGATAGATACAAAGGAGTATTAATGATAAGGTGCAAAACTGTAGGCTTGTTGGAAATGTCAGTAATAGCTTTCCCAGAGGTCAAGTTACTTGTCAGAGAGGGTCTCCGAACTATTTTGCTCAGCTTCTTGCATTAAAGAGAGATGACTAATGGTACTCTTTACCATGCATATTCTAGTGGTCAGTTGCTTTTTTTTTTTTTTTTTTTTTAAACCACTTTTTGAAACATGTTTTATTGCAAGGACCAATTAAAAAATATTTTTCTCTTCTAAATCCTCGAATTAAATTTACTTTTGGCATTTTTAGAGTCAAAGCAGCCCTGTCTAGGCTCTCTCCTATTATTCTTCTATCATAAGCCCGTCCTTGTTTCGCTGTCTCCAGCTTTAATAAACGTGCTCTCAAAATTACAAATAAATAAAACATAAATTTAGAGCATTGCATTATGTAAGCACACCAGTCGTCCAGTTTAAGAAGCTAAGAAATTTATAAGAGTTACTAGAGAAATATAGTAACTTGATTTAGAAATTACGATTGAGCCAACTGAGATCATGAATTCTTTTGAATTAAAGAATATAATTTTGCTAAGCCTAACTTATTTTAGCATTTTAGAATGTAATAAGTTTCATAGGACACTTATAATCATTAAGCAGACTTCAACACTGAATTTAAATCTTCATTATAAAATTAAATAACTTCAATTTGAAGCATTACAAATTAATTAGAATTGTTTTGTTTAGCATGATTATGCCCCAAATAAGCTCTTAAAGATGATATTGCACTACATTAAAAACTTAGTAAATATCTTAATTATCCTTTTTTAAATGACAAGTACAGTATATTAGCAATTTGGAGGGTAACAACTAAGACTTTATATATGCAATTATCTTTGTTATATGTAGACTTAAAATACTTTTTTCTCTTGACAGAAAATGCACAATTTTGAGGACGAGTTAACATGTCCCATTTGTTATAGTATTTTTGAAGATCCTCGTGTACTACCATGTTCTCATACATTTTGTAGAAACTGCTTGGAAAATGTTCTTCAGGCATCTGGTAACTTTTATTTATGGAGACCATTACGAATTCCATTAAAGTGCCCTAATTGCAGAAGTATTATTGAAATTGCTTCAACTGGTATTGAATCTTTACCTGTTAATTTTGCATTAAGGGCTATTATTGAAAAGTATCAGCAAGAAGATCATCCAGATATTGTCACTTGCCCTGAACATTACAGGCAACCATTGAATGTTTACTGTCTACTAGATAAAACATTAGTTTGTGGTCATTGCCTTACCATAGGCCAGCATCATGGCCACCCTATAGACGACCTTCAAAGTGCCTACCTGAAAGAGAAGGAGACGCCTCAGAAACTGCTGGAACAGTTAACCGACACACACTGGACGGATCTCACTTGTCTTATTGAGAAGCTGGAAGAAGAAAAATCTCATTCGGAGAAAATGGTTCAAGGTGATAAAGAAGTTGTTCTCCAATATTTTAAGGAGCTTAGTGATATATTAGAACAGAAAAAAAAGAATTACCTAACTGCTCTCTCTGATGTTGGCAATCTGATTAATCAAGAATATACTCCACAAATTGAAAGAATAAGAGAAATGAGGAAGCAGCAGCTTGAATTAATGACATTGACAACATCTTTACAAGAAGAGTCTCCACTTAAATTTCTTGAAAAAGTTGATGATGTCCGTCAGCGTGTGCAGATCTTGAAACAAAGTCAACTTCCCGAGGTCCAACGTATTGAAATTTATCCCCGAGTAAGCCAAGTATTGAAAGAAGATTGGAGCATAACAGAAATTGGACAAATTAAGAAACTTCTCATTCCTGAAATGAAAATTTCTTCAACCAGGATGCCTTGTTCCTGGCCTGCTGATGAAAAGGAAGTTGAATTTTTTAAGATTTTAAATATTGCTATAGTTACATTAATTTCAGTGATACTGATGTTGATCCTCTTTTTTAACCAACACATAATAACCTTTCTAAATGAATTCACTTCAATGTGTTTTTTTGATGTCTCTCTCTCTGTTTACCAAAGTTTATCTAACAATCTGCACAATTTAAAGAAAATGCTATATCACACTTTATATTTACTGAAGGAATTCATATGGAAAATAGTCTTTCGTTGAAAATGCAAATCTACATTCAAATAGGCTTTTTCTAAACAGGGACCAACCACCATTGCTAAGTGGAAAAATTGGGGTTGCATGGATAAATAAAATAGCAAACTAAACTTTAGTAGAATTGCAACAAACATATAGAAATATTTTAAACCTTTTATGTTTCTGTTGGATAGAAATGTGTCAGAAATGAAGCAGTGTCTCTGGTTTTTTATGTAAAACCTAGAATAAAATATAGTTGATTTGAATTTTATCCTTTTTCATGGATTTGAGAGCTTGATTTAATATTGCTGTGGCATTTAAACATTGTTTTGCCAATATTGTCTTTTAATATTAACATGGTTGTAGTGATTGACTTTGCAGTTCTTCACACATAGCTTTTAGAATAAAAGATGGTAAAATCTGGAAAGTACCTATGCACTTACTTTTGATGTGGCTTCTTTTGCATGGGCAAATAAGAATGGTGAGGTTTTGAAATCAAGCAGCAAAGTCTAAAATAAGGGGTTGCTTAAAGATATTTTTGATCAAACAAACTGGATCCACATATTGTTTTAGATGGATTTAAGAGCCTTAAGATGTTTAAAATCTAAATGTTGTTAGGAAACAAACAGCAACGTTTCCTAAAAAATATTCTGTGACTTGTGTTACTTTAGGGTTATATTTAACTTTTGTGTGGTGTTCAGTTACCAACTAAGTTCTTGGATAAAAACTTTTTGAAATGTTATGTATTCCGTCCTCTTTAGATTTAGATAACATGTTAATTGCATTTGTCTTAAAAACTTAAATTTGTCCAAGGCCATGTAATATACGACTTGCCAGTTTTTAGTAGACAAAACTTATGTAGTATATATGACTATAGACAAGTACAGGCATACCTCGTTTTATCGCACTTTTGCAGAACATTGTTTATTTTCCAACTGAAGATTTAGTTGCAACCCTGAGTCAAGTGTATCTGCACTAGAATTACAAACTTGTTGAAAAGTCAGATGGTTAGCATTTTTTTTTTTTTTAAGCAATAAGCACTTTTAAATTTAGGTGTATATTTTTAAAAGATATAATGGTGTTGCATACTGAATAGACTGCATTATGTGTAGCATAAGCATAGCCTTTGTATGCACTAGGAAACCAAAAATATTTGTTTTATTGTATTTGGTGGATGGTGCCTGATTCTTAAACATGCTGTTCTTTTTTGTACTTTTACTGGGAAGATGAGATTGTGTAAAATTTAAAGTGCATATTAAAATATTTCACATATAACATGTATTTTAATAAACTATATTCTACTTATATTGTCTTAATAAGGCACTCAAACTCATGTGGTAACTATATTTTTCATATGGATTGTGGGTGGGTATCATGCACTTTGTTATTAAAGTTAAAGTGTAATAAAATACTTAATTCCATTCACCTATACTCTAGTGAAAAAGCACTATAATGATAATATGGATTATAATTATTATATTGATTATAAGTATAGTCTTTTAAAGTTACTTTTCCCTCCCATGATTGAAAACAAATGACACCAGGCTGACATGTCACCCTGTTGATCAGCGGAGTTGATTTGGCTGGTCTGGCTAGTTGGTGCGGGTCTCTTTCCTCACCACTCCATGTGACTCCCAAAGCTGTGCAGGTTTAACCAGAGTTTTTCTATTAAGGGATACACAAGTAATTGCTCCCCTGTTAGAGCTTCCAAACAAAGCCCTCAAGGTCCATTTGTAGGAAAACTGGATATCAAGCTTCCAAGACTCCAGACACATCCAAATGAAGCAATGCCTTTCTTTCCACAAGGCAAAATTAAACAGGCCAGCCTGTGTGGCTCAGTGGTTGAGTTTCCACCTATGAACCAGGTCACATGCCAGGGCTGTGGGCTAGATCCCCAGTGTGGGGCGTGCAGGTGGCAGATGATTAATGATTCTCATCATTGTTATTTCTATCCCTCTCCGTTCTCTCTGAAATTAAAAAATGACCACACTTGTTTAAAATCTTTATTTAAATGCACACTAACATAATTTACATTTTGAATGGCTGTTATGATACAGACCTCTGTTGGATTTTTACTACCTACATAATACTTTACTGAATAATGAGCTAATGAACTGATAAGTCCTCAGGATCAATATCTAGAAATTGAACAGTAAGGACGAAGACTTCTGATTCAATACCAAAATGCCTTCTGAAAACCAAATGGTTGCCAACTTATTTCCAGTAGCATAGTTCTTGAGCTAATACAGTGTCAAATAACAAAAATTGCCCTAAACCCTGGCAGTGGGCAGGCAAAAACAATCCATCTTAATCTCCATTTACAGGGAAGACATTAACCCATATATATTTCATTCTTTTTATGAAGCAACTGTAGCAGGTAGTCTTTCCATCACTGCATGCAATAAATATCCTGGTCGTGTTTAGACTTTCTCAATTTGCTAGCCCTCTTGCAAGTGTTTTATACACCAAGTGTTAGAAAAACATATGAACTCTCACCCTAACAAATAAAAATGACTCATAAAAAACATGCTCCCAGTATTTGGGTGATAAACAGTGATTGTCTAAATTAGTAAATTAACCGGAATGCCTTTGGAATTTATAAATTAGAAGTTGGCAAGTCTTTCCACTGTAAGTCAAAGGTCCATGAGAGTATGTTGTATCTTGGTAACATTAACTAGTTTAGAACTTGAATGTTAACATACTTTTAATTCTGCTGGTAGCTATATGGGGGAAAAGGGCAGTACCTGAACTCCAAGCATCTTGTTTCTCCATAGTCTGCTGCTTACAAAATTGTCAGATTCTTAAAATCTCCTAGAAGCAGGCAGGATATTTTTATTAGGCTTGTAACAGCCTAAAATAGAAGGCAGTTTACATGATCAAGTTTAGAATATGAATATTATACATTTATAATCCTTTACACATATAAAAATCAGTAATATAATACACCAAAAGTCTGCTGATTCACGTTGATGAGTCTTCAGTATAAACAAGTTTAACACAGTCCTTTAGATGCAATTTCTTTTGGGTTTACTGCAACACTTTTTGTTATATTGTATGTCTTATAAATTCCAATAAGTCTATCTGAAATCTCAAACATATTATTTCGAAGAGAGATGATTATGAACTGGGCATTTTTTGTTTGTTCCTAAAGAAAAAGAATAAGAAATATTAAGTATTAAAAGGTACATCATATAATAAACATCTAAGCTTTACTTCTATTTCAGGCAATAAAATTAACAATATTGACAATAAAAATAAACAGGAATGATGGGATGGATAATTTTTGAAAGAGTATTTAGATTTGAGAGGAATTTGAGGATTTCTAGAAGGATGGTTGTTTAAAAAGTCATAGTTAAAAAAAAAATCTAGTCTGGTCGGTGCAGCTCAATGGATGAGTGTAGACCTATGAACAAAGAGGTCATGGTTTGTTTTCTGATTAGGGCACATGCCTGGGTTTGTGGGCTGGATCCCTAGTCAGGAGCATTCAGGAGGTAGCAAATCAATAATTCTCTCTCATCATTGATGCTTCTCTTTTCCCCCTCCCTTCCTATCTGAAAGCAATTTAAAAAAGATCTAGGCAGAGAGAGAATATTTTTCTTGTGTTTCTGCTACCAATTTATTATTTTTAAAAATATATTTTATTGTTTTTTTTACAGAGAGAAAGAGAGAGGGATAGAGGGTTAGAAGCATCAATGAGAAAGAATCATCGATCAGCTGCTTCCTGAACACCCTCCACTGGGGATGTACCCGCAACCAAGGTACATGCCTTTGACCGGAATCGAACTTGGGCTCTCAGTCCGCAGGCTGACGCTCTATCCAATGAGCCAAACTGGTTTCGGCTCTGCTAATTTAAATTATCAAGTTATATTTTACTTTCCCAAAATGGAAATATTTGGTTCAAGTAAAGGACTTTGCCTCCTTTGATATGTCAGGACATAGAGTTATAGAATAGTTTGGAAAAAAACTCAACAAGTAATAAGTCAATTCCATGTGCAATATCTGAATGAATAAGTCAATGAATTCCATGTGTAATATTTGATGAACGCATAAAAAATTTTAGGGTAAAAATCTCTAAATGATTACTTACATATATGTAAAACGCAACAATGGACACATTTTTAAAATCAAGGGCTGCATCAATCTCATCCATGAAGTACAGGGGCGTGGGTTTGTAGTGATGAAGAGCAAATACTAAAGCCAATGAACTAAGTGTTTTCTCTCCTCCTGAAAGGTTGAAGATCTTCTTCCAACTTTTCTTAGGTGGTCGAACACTGAAATAAGAAAATCTTATTAGTCCATAAGCACCTTCCTTGGGAATTTCTAACTTGTTTTTCACCATACCAGATTTTTGGGGTAATTTTATAAAACCGTTATTGGAGGATGAACTCATAGGAACATCTACCAAAATTTTAAGATTTAAAAAATCAGGCTAAAAAAAAAAAAAAAAAAAAAAAAATCAGGCTTCTTTGCTATTCTTCCCCCCTTTCCAATGTAATTTTTACTCTGCAATTTTAAAATCCTTATGTTAAACTGAAATGACTAAGATTTAAGAAAAAGATGTGTAAAATTAAATACTTGTTTGCCCAGAATTTATGCTCTAAAACTGTCAATATATAATTTAGTATTTAGCACCTAACAAAACAAGCTGTGTATTTTTTAATCTTCATATCCCAACTCTAAAAAATACTAAGAATCTGGAGAAAGTATAGAGCTATCTATAATGATAAAATGCTAATTAGACTGGACAGCCGAGTGAGCTTCTGGACGAAGCTGGGGAGGTGAGGGCTGAGCCCCTTGCATGAATTTCGTGCGATGTAATAGGAAGATACAAAACTCAGCATTTAGTTACAAACCTGAACATGATTCCTTCAGAGAAAGGATCCAAGCTGTCTACAAGCTCCAATTCAGCATCGCCTCCCAAAGTAAGCATTTGGTAATTCTCCTTTAATTTATTTGTTATTATATAAAAACCTGCCATGAATTCATTAAGCCTTTGTTTCCGGAGATCTTCATATGCTTGTCTAAAATTATCTCTTTCATGAGTAATTTTGTCCAATTCTGCTACCCGTTGTAAATATAATTCTTCCTGTGAAAAGAAAATTTTTGTGAGAATAAATAGCTATTCAGTTTTAAATTTGAGATCTTTTAATTATATAAAATTAAAGGTCACAATTTGGGCTGAGGATAAAAAAAGAATTTTTGGTAATTCAGTAATAATTTATTCATACCTTCTTTTTATATTCTGCAATGGCACCAAGATTTGGTTTCATTTCATGACACTGGGCTTCCAAAAGTGCAATTTGATTTGTTATAGAATCTGGATTCTTGATTGCTTCAAGATCCTCTGGGCTCAGAACTAAAATCTCTTCAACAGGATTATCTTCTATGGGATGCAGAGATATTTTCGAAATCTAAAAGTTCAATGAAATTAAGAGTTAGGGAGGGCACAGTACTACCATTCATTGTTTAAAAAGAATCAAAACAATATGACAATTTACCTACTAAAACAACATATACCAAAGATTTGTGACTAATTTGTATATCTACTTTTCAAAGGACTTCAAGGAAAATAATTGTAGCATTCCAAATTCTGTTAAATTTCCAAATCAACCCGTGGATGAAAATGTTAACTACTTCTAAAAATTACCCAGATTTTTTTGGTGTTTAATATTGCTACACATTGTTCCTAATGTAATCTATAAACCTGGGAAGTGATTATATCATGAATTAAGAATCATAACATACCCAAACACACACATTAGCTAAATGATAATAATCTCACCTCTTTCTGCCAATATCTTATTTTAGAATTATGTTCTGCAATGTGACCATCTATTTGTTCAAGTTTCAATTTAATACTAAGTGCATCTTTTTGAAGAGCATGTTCATTTTCTTGAATTACTTTTAGTTCTTGTAGTAGATTACGATGTTCTTTCTGGACCTCTGGTAAGGACTCCTAAAAACCAAGAAAAACTGCTATATTTATGATCTTCCCCGATAAAGAACAAGTATTTTCATATTGCAAAGCTGAAGTTGGCAATCTCCCCAGGCCCCTTCCATTTTAAATTAAAACTATTTACTTAAAAGTTAAAATACAGTACTTATGTTTTATTGTATAAATACAAGTTAATATAGTTACAAGTTTTAATCTATTGAGCACTTATTATGCAAGGTACTGATGTCATATATCCAATGGCTTAAACTTCCTTGAGTCTTACCTCTGCAGCATTTGTATTCTTTATGACCTCTGTCGCTTTGTCCTCAAGATTTTTCAGCTCTGCTGTTAAGTCATCTATTTCTTTCGCAGTATCTTTTATTTCTTTTTCTGTGCGAGAGACAGAGTCTTGCGCTTTTTTAAGATTTCTAAACAAGCAAAATAATGTATTAAAAATGTGGTCAATGTGTGACTTATTAATCTGCTTCTGAAAACCTACCAAATAATTTTTCATGACATATTAATGCAATTCTTCTTCTATTACAAATTTTGAAATTTACAATTTATAAAACCATCCCTAAACTAGTTTTTAAGTTTATACATACACTTGTGGGATGTTGTATATTTTATTAAACTCTCAGTACAAATTAATGAAACTTTCCTTATATAAGCTTCTAGCATCATCCAATCTTAACACTATAAAGCAAAGTTAGAGTATATTCTTTCGTTACTTTCTTGTCAGTTGGAGATACTTAAGTCTCTATACTCATAAAGCTACACAATCAAATAAAAATTACCTTACAGTTTACCCTGGCCGGGTGGCTCAATTGGATTGAGCATCATCCTGTACACCAAAAGGTTGTGGGTTCAATTCCCAGTCAGGACACATATCTATTTAAGTTTCAGGTTCAATTCCTGGTCAGGGCACATACGGGATGTAACCAATCAATGTTTCTCTATTTCTTTCTCAAATCAATAAACAACGCATTCTCAGGTGAGAATTAAAAAAAAAAATTACCTCCCAGTTCAAGTCAGGGCAACAAGTGCTTCTAAAGAGGTGTAGGGGTGGGGGTCGGGGGACACACCCGGAGAAACAACTATTTCTCCCTTAATAAGGTTATTTCTATGTTGACAAATGTGTTTAGGCAAACTACCACTCCTAACAAATGGCTTATTAGAGCCTTATCTTTAAGTTAAAAGGCACTGAGAAAAATGAAATAGCTGGAAAGTCAATATGCAGTCTTTTTTCTAATTTTAAGATAAGCAATAGTTGCTTACATTTCAATATATTATATACATATTTATCTTTATTTTAATACTTCAATAAGCAATCTAAAAATTAATTTTAGAAGATCTATGAATGGACAAGCTTTTTATGATCTGGGACAATGGAATAATAAGAATGTAAGTTACTAAGGCAATTTTGCCAAGAAATCTCATTTTTATCTCTTACTCTTCTAAGACCTAAATCTAATCACCAACAGAGAAACAATACTAATTTCTATGTCCTCACAACAGCTGGGGAGTTAACAGAATTACACTTAGCCAAGATTACCTATTTATCAGTTTTTTTTTGTTTTTGTTTTGTTTTGAACTGCTCATATGACAAATGTTGAGCATAGCTTTCTCCTCACTAAAGTCCTTTTAGGCAACATGTCTGATAAGACTTAATAAGTAACAGTAATAGAAAAATTTAATGCATATTAAATATTAACCTCCTCTGCCCTAGCTGGGTTGGCCTGCAAACTTCAGGGTGCCTTGGTTGCAGGCTCCATCCCAGCCCCCGTCAGGCTATGTGTGGGAGGCAACCAAATTGATGTGTCTTTCTCACATCAATGTTTTTCTGTCTCTCCCCTTCCCTTCCACTCTCTCTAAATATCAATGGAAAAAATATCCTGGAGTGAGGATAAACAAAAACAAAAAGCAAAACAAAACTATTAACTCCTTTCCAATGTTGAGTTAGGGAAGAGGAAGGCAGGTTACGGTACTATGCATACTCTACCTGTCAGCAGTCTTGATTGCTACTTGGGCTTTAGTAATAGCAGAAGCACATTCATCTAATTGCTTATTTATTTTATCAAGTTTGTCTTGTTGGGCCTTGAGTTTATGGTTATTAATTTCTACGATGATATTGTGTAATCTTTTAACCTCAGCCTCTATTTTGCCAGCTCTTTCAGCCACATTGTCATATTCTGGAAAAAAAAAAAAAAAAAAAAAATGAAAACTTAATTCATGTTTCTAGGTTAACAAACACCACCAGTTACATGTAAATTTCTTCAGTCTATATGACTTAACCTAATGCATTTAAAATAAATTAGGTATTTGGGGAAAAGTACCTCAAAAAACGAAAACACACCATGTCAAGGCCGTGTTATGACCACACATGGTAAATTCTATGGCTCAGCTCTAAGACCCATTTACTTCTTAATGGCTTCATGCCCTCAAGCTCTTTTCAAAGGTATTTTCCAACTTTTTCTTAGGGTACTTCCTTGCCTCTTATTGGTCTCATAATGCTTTTTATCCTTAGGCTATGTGCTAAATAGATTGCCAGTGGTGAAGAAATAGTGGTTATTTTATTTGATAACCTAAGTTCTTCTACATGTATTTTAACAAGAAGGTGGGGCAGGGGAGATAGGATAAAACTGGCTTTCTTTTGTGTAGCATAGAAAGCTAACTTTCATTTCCTAGATTCCTTTGTACCTAGGTATATTCAGTCAAACGAAATTGTATAATTTGAGAGGCAAAAGTGATGCATCAAGCACGTTTCTGCAAGCAATCACAAGACAAGTTCTTAATGGAGAGAGTTTCTGGTGTCTAGTCAAAAGCTTTGTGAATAGAGGCAGTGGTATTAACTTTGATGACATAGATTATTGTGGTTATGTGCTTCTGATGCTGGTAATTGTAGTGTTTGTTATCTTTCCAATAAGAGACAGTATAGTTCCTTTGATGGTTCTGCAGAGTAGCTCTGGAAATTATTTGTGAATGTTCAACCTAGAATTAGTCACCCTAATGATTCTATAAACAATCTACTACTCTCTTAAGCGGCTCTATACAAATCCTTTGCACACCAGCAAGGACTCTGTTCTCCTAATTGAATCTTAATCACTATATAGTATCAGGAGGAGGAAAGGTGACAAAAAGGTGAGGAGGTCAAGCTATAAAGAATACCTACGTCTAAAAAACTAAGCTAACTTATGGAAAGAGAATCCCATAAAGCTCCTATAGGAGGTGTACAGGCATTTGGCACAGGGGGAGGCATTTGCTGAGAAAAGGATTGGATGAGGAATTAACTATTGCTTTCTTTTTTGTCTCTTCTATTAGGTAGGTTGGAATTTCAACCTTCCCTAAATCTTAACTTACCATTTTTCTCTTAAGTGTTCTAAATTACCAGGAGAATTTTTTAGCCTGACCTTGTAGCCCATATAATGAATTAATTTGAACAACTCTGTTGTTCATTTCTGAGATCACTGCTTAGCTCTTAAAAAACAAAAACAACTGTTTTTATAGCCTTTTGGATTCCCCTTCCCCTAAGGATATTAAATATACACATTTACAAGTTCTATATTGCCAACACTAGCAATTTCCCCCCCAGGTCTCAGAAAGCTGAAATTCCCTTCGGCTGCCTGCCTGCTCGGCTTACCTGTGGGACAGAGCACAGCTGCAGTGGGGGCTGGCACTGTGCCTTGCACTGGGGAGTGCCAGGTATGCAGCAGGAAAGGGCTCCAAACCTTTAGAATATTTTCTTCCTTATTTTCAAGTAGATACAATGAATTTCTTTTTAAATTTTGAAGTCAATATTCTATACCATCTTACACTCCCCAATCCCTTACTCTATTCTCTGCACATAGCCAGAGAGATATTTTAATAACTAAACTAATATAAAATGAAATATTCAAAGATATGCTTGCAGAAATGGGTCCTCCATATTAGGCATTAACAGTCTACTGATAATAGCCAGTATTTCCATGAGAGGATAGATATTAATGAATATAGAGCTCCTAATAAAATCAAGGCTTCCTTTTCAAACAAAAATAAAATACAGATTTCTGTAGTCTCGCTATAGAAGTGTTGCTATAAATGATAACATATGAAATGGCCTTTCAACTAACCAGAAGGTAGCATCAAAACAGTCACAAAAAAATATTGTGGGTTTGAGGAAACAGGAGTATGGGGAAATATCAATGTGTTTGAAAAAACAAAAAATAGACTCAAAACCTAATGTAAGGGGGAAAAACCCTGTCAAGATTACACCACTTCCCTGTACATCACTCTCCAATGCTTTTTATTTCACTTGGAGATTTGGCCTATCCAGGCTCTACATTATCTGGACTCTTCCATTTTTTATTCTAGCCACTCTGGCTTCCTTGTATTCCTAGAAAGTTCTGGCACACACCTGCCTCTCAGGGCCTTTGTACTTGTCTATATTTTTCTTGGAATGCTCTCCTCCAGTTAGCACACATACTTCCTTTGGGACTTCTGTTCCAATATCTCTAGCATAGGCCTGTCTAACCACTGTGTCTATCTGACCTCCTCCCCCATCCTCACCATGTCCTGTAATCGTTGTTTTACTTATCCCTCAGCACCACCTGAACCACTTTTCCTTTTGGGAGAAAACTCATTTTTGGAGCATTTGCATAATTGTTCCAACTTCACCCCAACTACTTCTTTGTGACGGACAATCAATATTTACCTTCCTTGGCTCATGAACCAAATTGTAACGGGTTATCTTGAGAATTCAATGAAAGTACACTAGCTAAGATACTGTAGGCCAGGAAGGAATCTGTGATCATAACCCACCATTCCCTCCTCCCGCAATCACCTATTCATGTTTGATTGAAGTAAGCATGGAAAGAGAAGCAGGGTTGCTCAAGTGCATGGTCTGGGGATTTCAATATCAAAGCCAACTCTGACAATAAGCCTATGAATTCCCTTTCTTACTTTAAAGACACATGTTGTACACAAGAAAAAAAGGTTCTTGGAAGAAAAAGTATTTTCTAAGTTTTCAAGCAAATACTGTTTTTCTTCATGTAGGTACCTTTATTTCCTGTGGTGTTTTTTTTTTTTTAGTTTTTCCAAATCCTTTCCTTAATCCAGCAATTATCAATTGGTGTGCCATAAGATGTTTAAAAAACATGCAATACCTGACTTTTAGTCAGGGCACTGACTTCTTTTCCCTTAGATTATCTATTAAAAAAATGACAATAGCCAACACAATAGCTGCCTGCTGTGAATGAATTAAAATTGTTCCATTGTTTCTCTTTCTTTCTCTCTCTAAAAATGAATTTAAAAATACCTACTTTTTTTTGTCAGGTTGACAAAAATATTATTTTTTTGGTGTGCTGTAGAACTTTAGTAATTAATTTGTGTGTGCCATGAGATGAAAAAGGTAGAAAAATAACTACTATTTTTAAGGGTTTCCAGGGAACACTGGGCCAAAGTATACAAATATATAAAATTAAGAGCATGGGCTCTAGAATCAGATTGCCTTGAATTCTTATAACATCATATGCTATGTGACCTTGGGTAAATTATATAAACCATTCTAAGCTTTGGTTTTCTCACCTGTCAAATATAATTCTCCATTTAATACTATTTATTTAATCTTAATACTACTTTATAACCTTTTGAAAATTAGACAATAGTAACCATAAACAGAGCAGCGACTCACTATTTTTAAACTACAAACTGCTATTTTTAAACATTTCAAAACATTAAAAAACCTATAAGAAAAAAAAAAAGGGTTTGTATCAGTAAACATACCTGTTTTGAAAGCATTAACATTTTCTTCTAGCAATTTCTGCTTTTTTTTGTCAGGGGCTGTAGCAAGCACATTAGCTTCAAGTTCCTTAACTTGGACATTCAAATATTCTTCTTGCTCTGATAAAGGCTACAGAATGGTTTTAACATTAAAGATCAATATTTTAACTCAGAATCAACATTTCCTTTAAATATTTTGAACTAACAAAATTTTGATTTTAAATCTTTAAGGACAACATACAAATAGGAAAACAGCAGAAAATATGAACAATTTATCTAAAAAACGTAAACAGCCAACAAACACACAAAATGATAGGTAAATTCACTACAAAGACAAGTTAAAATGCCATTTCTAGTAAATCAGAGTAGCAAATTTACAAGGTACTGAAGACCACCTTTTACAATGCACTGCAGACTTAACACTAGTGTGTTAAGACTTGGAAAAATAATTATAGCCATCTTTTTTGAAGTCACTTTGACCTTATGCACTTACCCACCGTACACATATTGAGTAATAATTTTAATTTAGGAATCTAACCTAAGGAAATAATCGGATGAGTATATATGAAGGTATACCTAACAAGGGTATTTTAAACATACACAGTATACATAAAAACATTTAAAATTATATAACAAAAGGCTCTAACACAATTGCAAACGAAGTAAATTTTCATTGGTTTAGCAAGAAAACCCTAATTTCTTAAGTAAAAAAGTTAGTGTTACTCATTAAAATTCCATATGTATACTTAATATGCATATCCATACTTAGTATATTCTTTGACTTTTTAATATTAACACCTAACTTGCATGCGGGTTTATGCAAGTTAGGTGTTAATATTAAAAAGTCAAAGAATATACATAAAAATTGAGGGTGATATATTTTGAGTATTTCCTGAAAACTGTGTTGTTGTTTTTTAAAAAGATGGTGAGCATGCACTGCTTTTGTATAATTAAGAGACCTTCCACTATGAAAAGAGGATGAAAATAAAGGGTCACACAGTTGTTAAGAAAGCCACGTTTTTGTAGAGTACAAAGGAAAACCAGGAATAGCTGTGGCTAGAGCAACACTATGACAGGGCATTTATCCATTAGAACTCAGGGAAAGAGATTCAATAGATAGGCCCTCCACTTAAGAGATCCATACCTTTCTCCCTTATATTTTACAATTGTAAGCCCACAGCAAAATGCTTCTGAGAAATTACTACGGAATTCCACTAGTTTCAGCTAATACTGATAAGAGTACCTGGATGCTTGCAGTAAACTTTTCCAGTGTATTTCTCATTTCTCGTTGACTATGCTTTAATTTAACTACTGCTTCTTCCAGTTGTACTTTCTGTTCCTGAATTTGTACTGCTTTTTGAGAGTCTCTCTGCAACTGCGATTCCATTTTATTTACCTACGAAGATGAGTACCAGTGAAATAAGTTTTCTATAACAGTTGTTCCAGATTAATAGCAAAGGCAACAAAAGACACCCTATGTAAATACTTAAGTGGAAGGATATAAACTATTTGAAAATATGGGGTGGAGGGTGAGGGCGCACGCCAGGAAAGCATAACTCGTTGGAAAAAGTCAGGTATCCAGGACACCTAAGCATATGTTTATAAGGAAGAAAAAAATACATCTAGATTCTGAGGGGGTAAATAGCACATAGCAGTTTTTTCCCCAGTCATTTTCATAAACTTATGGGCATATAAAATATTTTGAAATAAAATTTGGAAATATGGTCAGAAGTCTCTACTATACTTATACCTTAAAGAATTATTTTGAAATAGAGAAAACCAATTATATGATGCAGTTATGATTATGTGAAAAAACAAGTTAAATGTGAAGTAAATTATGAAATAGCCATATGATTCAAACATAATAGAAAAAATACGTTGGGCACATATATTTTCTAATTAATGTTTTATTTTTATAACTTAAAGGGCATTCCATAAAACCCTACATCTAATTATAGAAAATTCAATCTGTCAAAATGTGAATACTACTTTAAATTGAATTTTATAGTATGTATGCTATACATCAATAAAACTATTTTTTTTTTTTTAAAGTATGACTAAAATGTGCTGACCTCTTCTTCAGAGACTTCAACAACTGAGGAACCCATTCTTCCTTTCATTACTTTGCTTCCCCCACCAGTCATTGTACCTGAGAACAGAGGATAGAAGTCAGACTGAGACGTCTTCCCGCAACAAGATTAAATATAAACACACTCAGTAATAGGAATATAACCGCTGTTACCTGACTGTTCTATGATTTGCCCCTGTAACGTCACCACTCTCCATCTTCTGTCTCTTTGATATGCCACTCTTGTGGCTTGATCTAAGTTGTCAGCTACTAAGGTATCCCGTAAAGCAAAGTAAAAAGCTTGGCGAATTTTCTCATCTTTTACTTTTACTAAATCAAATAATCGAGGAGTATTTTCAGGAGTTTGAATTTTGGTCATTTTTTTTGCCCATACTGTCATCTAAAAGTAAAATATTAAGTATATCTATTAAAATAAAGAATAAATCACTTTAAGATAGTAAAAGTTCTGTACATGTATAAAATGTAGGGACTTGTATACAAAGTTCTGAGTGTCTGTATTAATTGAGTACAGTAGTTCCCCCTTATTTGCAGGGTATATAGTCTAAGACCTTCCCAGTTGATGCCTGAAACTGTGGATAGTATGAACCCTATTTGTACTGTTTTTCCCTATACATATATACATACATACCTCTGATAAAGTTTATAATTTAAGCACAGTAACGAATTAACAACAAATAGAACAATTATAATCACATTATAATAAAAGTTATATAAATGTGATCTCTCTTTGGCAACAGATTTAAGTGACTAACAGGCAATTAGCATATACAGTGTAGGCACCCTAGACAAAGGGAAAAATCTGTCTGAAAAGACAGTCTGAGATTTCATCACACTACTCAGAACGGTGTAAAATTTAAAACGTATGAACTGTTTACTTCTGGAATTTTTCATTTACTATCTTCAGACTATGGCCTACAACTGGTAGCTGAAATCACAGAAAGTGAAGCTGCAAATGGGGGGGGGGAAAGGAAGGGGTAGCGACCCCTACTATATTCATTGTTATTTTTAAAAAAGGGGTAGTTATAAAATCCTAAAGAATCCTGCCACAAAACCTAAAACTGATGATGAATCCAGCAAAATTGTAGGATACAAGATCGATATACAATTAATTGTACTTATATATACTAGGATTGAAAGTGAAATATTAAGTCCAAGCTGGTTCATTTCCAGTCAAGGTCACATGTCTAGGTTGTGGTCTCGATCCTACAAGCTGGTGTGCAGGAGGCAGCCAATCAACGATTCTCTCTCTCTCATCATTGATGTTTCTCTCTCTCTGCCTCTCTGAAATCAATTAAAGAAATATAAAAAATGAAATTAAGAAAAGTCAATTTATATAAAAAGAAAAATCCCCAAAATTTTTAAGTTTAACAAAAGAAACACAAGACCTGTTTATTGAAGGCTATAAAAGATTATGGTATGAAATTAGACCAACATAAATGAAAGACATCCTAGGTTCATGGATTGTAAAATTTAGTATTATTAAGATGGCCATACTATCCAAATTGATCTACAGACTCAATACAATCAATATCAAAATTTCAGTTGCTTATCAAAGTCTGTAAGTTATATAAATCACTCTGTAAGTTATATGTTTAATCATTATGTTGTACACACAGAACTAATGATATAGTATGTCAAATGTAATTAAAAAATAAAATTCCAATTGCCTGTGTACTTTTGGGGGCAGAAAGTGACCAGCTAATCTTAATACTGATATGAAAATTACAGGAACTCAGAATAACCAAAACAATCTTGATATCAAAGAACCAAATTAGAGCCCTGGCCAGGTAGCTCAGTTGGTTAGACCATTCTCCCGATATGCCAAAGTTGTGTGTCTGATCCCCAGTCAAGGCACATATAGGAAGCAACTGGTGGGTGCATGGATGGGTAGAACAACAAATCAATGTTTCTTTCTCCCTCTCAAATCAATTAGAAATAAACACTAGAAGATTCCTGATTTCAAAACTTATTACAAAACTACAGTATGGTACCAGTACAAAGATAGATAAATGTAGAGTGCAGAAATAAACCTTTATGGTCAGTTGATTTTCAACAAAGGTTCAAAAAAATTCAATGGGAAAATAAGTCTTTCCTAGAAATGGTGCTTATTTCCCAAAGGATACCCACATGTAAAGGAAGAGAGTTGGACCCCTTCTTTACATTATATTGTAACATTAACTCCACAGAAATTTAAAACCTACAATACAGTAAATGTAAAATTATAAAACTCTTTAAAAAAAAAAAGAGGAAATAGTTCCTTGGGGGAGTAGGGAGAATATGGGCAGTGACTACTAATGTGTACACTTTCTTTTGGGGGTGATGAAAATAATCTAGAATTACAGTTAAACAACCTTGTGAATATACTAAAATTCACTGTATATGTTAAAATGGTGAATTTTATGGTATATGAACTATCCTATCTAATAAAAAGTAATCTGCAAATTGACCATCACTACAACACACAAGATGGCTGCCCCCATGTGGACACAAAATGGCCAGCAGGGGAGGGCCATTGGGGCGACCAGGCCTGCAGTGGAGGACAGTTAGGGAAAATTGGGCTGTCAGGGGAGCTGTTAGGCATTTATTAGGCTGGCAGCCAGGTGAGTAGTTGGGAGCCAGCAGTCCTGGATTGTGAAAGTGGGATCAGGCCTAAAAGTGCAGTCGGAAAACCCCCAAGGGATCCCATATTGGAGAGGGTGCATGCTGGGCTAAGGGAGACCCCCCCCCCCCCGTGCACATATTTTGTGCACGGGGTTTCTAGTATTTCAATAAAGGTTTTATTTTTTAAAGTAATTATTGATGATGAAGAGCATCGGTCTGGGGACTGAAAGGTCCCAGGTTCGATTCTGGTCAAGGGCATGTACACTGGTTGTGGGCACAACCCTAGTAGGGGGGGGTGCAAGAGGCAGCTAGTTGATGTTTCTCTCTCATCGATGTTTCCAACTCTCTATCCCTCTCCCTTCCTCTCTGTGGAAAATTAATAAAAATAAAATATATTTAAAGAAAAGAAAAGAAAAGAAAAGAGAAATGTATAATCCTTTGGCGGGGGGAGAGGGGGGGAGGGAGAGAGGGGCATTACAAGATTCGCCGCCCCCCCCCCCCCCCCAACCATGTAACCACAGAGCCTATAATCCTCAACACCTATCAGCTGTTCACTGAATAACCATGAAGAAAAAGCTGGAATTCACAAATTTGAAAACAACAATACTTAGCACTTAAATTATCTGTAGCTTTTTATGTGCACCTACCTTATCCAGACCTATAAAGGTCGCAACTCCAATATTTTGTCTTTTAAGGAAGTTGACACATTCTTGGGCTGTATCAATAGAGTCAACAACAATATAATCTAATGCTCGACAACAGGATGAAATAGCAACATCATATTTTTCATCAATTGCTCCTAAGTCCCCCTAATATAATGGGGGGGGGGGAGGGAAGAAAAATCAATGTATAATCAGCAAAGAATTAGGCACAGGATCATAACTATTCATAAAGATTTTGCAAACTACTCTTAATTGAAAAACTATACTTATACATGAATTTAAAAAGTACAAGAAGGGAACACAACGAAAAATATGTGTTCTTATCATTCAACTAGTTTTTAATCTGCCATTTAAAAGATTATGAATGTGCGATTTTAAACTTTTATTGAAAGCTTAAAATGAAAGAATTGCTTTCATTGCATAAAAATTAAAACCTGAGAATTTGAAATCTAAAAGTACTATGAGCAAAACAACTCCAATCTCTTATTCAAAGCCATCTAAGATGATGAATGGCCTAATGAAACACATTTGCTTACTTATCAATCTATAATAAATTAGCTACCAAGCAACATTCACTGACTAGCTTTATTTTTCCCTGATGCAAATGAATAGGATCAAATTGTGTACTTTTGAGAAAATAAAGTGGAAATCACTTAACATTTAGATAGGAAGCTACTATACTGGGTAATTTTCATTTGTGCTTGTGAATCACTCTCTCCCGCTTTCTTCTCTGGAATGCTGACTCAGGGATTGCACCAAGTGGCTCCTTTGGCTCTCTAGCGTTAGCTAATGTGAGGCACCAGCTAGAGAAACGGGTAGGGTAGGAGATGAATCAGGTAGAAATATATATTTTCTCCTGGCCACCCTCTAGTCATGGCCACAGCTTCCCTCTTCAGTCTCAGGAGTGGGAATGGTCCCCACTATTGCTAGCCTTAGGTTTCTAAATATCCCTCGTTGATGTTCCTAGACTCTAGACACATTTTTTTGGTATAATGGTATAAAACCCAGAATATAATTATCAAATTCTTTTATTTAAAAAAAAAGTATAGAGTAGTTTTGTTAAAGTTTACCATTATGCAAGTTTGTTTTTCCCCTTGGAATTAAAACAATTATCCAAACCCCTATTTTTAATATCTATACCACAAAGAATTTTACCATGCCTGAGAGTTTACAAAATGTTTAAAATTGAACATCCTTTAAAATAAACAAAATGTGCCCTAGCCCATTTGGGCTCAGAGAATAGAGTGTTGGCCTGTGGACTGAAGGGTCCCAGGTTCAATTCTGATAAAAGCCATGTACCTCGGTTGAGGGCTCAATTCCCAGTAGGGGATGTATAGGAGGCAGCCGATCAACGATGTTCCTCTCTATTTAACCTTTCCTCCCTCCGTCCCTCCCCCCTTCCTCTTAAAACCAATAAAGCAGTTAGATTTAAATTAGTGTGACTTCACATGGCAGCTGGCTGCCCCTGTGACACTTGTTCATCAATTTATAAAATAAATAAATAAAAATGTATTTCAATACAGTGACATTCAATATACACTACTTTAAGTCAAGGCAGGAAAATTATTTACGTTTTTCTTGAAAGAAAAATGTATAGTTATTTCCAAATAAATCTACTTTACCAATCTTCCATATATCCCTGGAATCCTGCCAGATTTTTTTTCTTGTATTATTGCATCAAGGACTTTCCCTCTACTTTGATTCATTGCTAAGGAACTCTTTGCCTCTTCAACTTTTTGGAAAAGATCACGAACCAAACTTTTGCATTTTATTTCTTCTTCTGTAAATTTTTGAAGTTCTTTTTCTTTCTAAAAGTGAAAAAAAAAAAAAAAATGTATCCCATGATTCTATGCCTAGTCATAGAATTAATTGTAATGCCTCAAAAAAAGAAAGAGAAGACCAACAATAAACACTTAAACCAAAACCAAGAAACCATACTGCAACTGCTAGTTTGGTTTTGAAAAAATGTGGATGGATTTTTCTATGTTAAAATGGGCATAAATTATTTGGATGAATAATAAAGAACATACATGCAGTATGGTTCTAGGAGCAATATACTGATTGATAGAGCACGTAGTGCTGGGGCTGTGGAAATTCCAGTTCAAAACCACAATTATACATAACGTGTCCTAACTCTTAAATTCTGTATGAATAAGAAAGCAGACTTTGTATAAGACCCAGAATATGGGTGACCCTGGCAGAACTGTGGTTATATGTGCTATGGTTTCTAAATAATAATGAAAATTTATTAAAGAAAAAAACACATTAAAAAAGCAGAGCTCTAAAATGAAGGAGCACATGATGAGTGAATTATACTGCTATACAAAAATGTCAGGCTACCAAAAGAGGAACCACTTACATGCACACAAAATTCAAATTCCCAGTTGGTAAATCTTCAATTTAGAGCAGCCATTTTTTCTGACATTCTCCCTCATTTCCTGGCTTTAAATGATCACCTCTATTACCAGTCACACTAGTATAAAGTAAAAGCTCAAGTTACAGTTACAACTTACCCAAAATAAACTGAATTACTAGGGAGGAGATAAGAAGTGGTCACTGGATATCACTTAAGTTTACATTTAAATTCTACATAGTCAAGAAATTCAGCCAAAACCGGTTTGGCTCAGTGGATAGAGCGTTGGCCTGCAGACTCAAGGGTCCCAGGTTCGATTCCAATCAAGGGAATGTACCTTGGTTGCGGGCACATCCCCAGTGGGGGGTGTGCAGGAGGCAGCTGATCAATGTTTCTCTCTCATCTATGTTTCTAACTCTCTATCCCTCTCCCTTCCTCTCTGTAAAAATCAATATGTATCTATAAAAAAGAAAAAGAAATTCCCAGATCACCAAATAGTGTACATTTACTAAAATGGGGGGGAAATAAAAACAAATTATTTCCAAAATTATAGTTTCTCTTCATATAGCATTTACTATTGCTATCTTGCCTAATGAGGCTTTTGGAAGACTCAAGTTACAAAGTTCCTTAGATAATTCACTCAAGAATAGGAGCACCACCAATGGGCTAAAATAGGTATCTTGATTCAAACAGTTTCTAATCCCAACAAAGAAACTGCATGCATAAATTTAAAAACATTACATTAATATTGTTGACTTGCATATTCATCCACAAAGATATTTATGGTTTTTCATTTATTCTTGCATAAACTGTCTAGACATAGATTTAGGGAATCACAAACTTCCTTTTATTTAAATTCCATGGGGAGGAATGGTGGTGGTAGCAGTGTTATTTGCTGTTTGATGTTCCCGGGTAGAATACAGCAAGTGTCTTGATAGTCTCAGTTCTTATCAGTTGGAATACTACACTACTAACCCTATTCTTTTGGGGAAGATTAACACTAACTGAAAAAGAAAATCTATACATGTGTTTCTGGACTTAGGATGGGGTTATATTCTAATAACCCGACTGGGAAGTTGAAAATACCATTAACTAAAAAAATGCACTTAATACACCTAACCTACTGAACATCATAGCCCACACTTACTCAGAACATTTTTATTAGCCTACAGTTTGGCAAAATCATTTAACACAAAGTCTACTTTATTATCAAGTGTTAAATATCTCAAGTAACTTACGTTTATCATTTTTACACCATCATAAAATTAAAAAACCCTAACTTGGGGACCATCTGTAACCAGTCGCCTCAAATGTTGAAATTAACAAAAAATAAGAAAAATATATATATAAAACTTGGGTTGATAAACGATGTTCAGAAGAAATACAGAAGCCAAGATTTACCTCCTTTAATTCGCGTTCAGTTTGAGGGAGTTTTCCTTCTATATCTCTGATTGCAGCTTTCCTTTCTTTGAGAGTCTCAGAAGCTGCAACTAGAGCTTCCTTGGCTTTACTTAATTGAGACACTGCAGTATTATGCCGACTGAGATAGATATCAAGCTCTGATTGGGCTACATCCATCTTCGAACGGGCTTCGTTTACCAATTTGCTGAAACCCATAAGTTCTTTCTCTTGACTCTGTTAAAATATGATAGACACTGTTAAATCTATAACGTTTCAAACATAAACTAAAATAGAAACCATGTATTTTGAATTCAACTTAAGAGATTCTACAAGCATAATATATACAATTAAATAATTTTTACAAGAGGAATGGACTGTTTTGCTACAATCTTTCCCAACTGATTTTATGAGTTTAATGAGGTAATATTAATTAGCATGCTCATTTTAGAAGTCCTATATCTATACTAATAAAAGGGTAATATGCAAATTGGTCAGGACGCCCTCACAGTTAACGACTGAACAGCAGGCTGCGTGAGGCAACCAGGCTGATGGGGGGGGGGGGGGCTGGGGGCAGTAAGGGATGACCAGGCTGGCAGGAGTGGTAGTTAGGGGAGATCAGGCAGGCAGGTGAACAGTTAGGAACCAGAGGTCTTGTGAGAGGGATGTCCGACTGACGGTTTAGCTAATATTATATGATGAGAAATGAAGACACCTGAATACAAGTCCTGGCTTTTTCAATAAATTGTCAGTTGGACATTCCCAGAGAGGTCCTGGATTGGAAAGGGTGCAGGCTGGGCTAAGAGGATCCTCCTCCCCCATGCACGAATTTTGTGCCCTGGGCCTCTAGTCCTATATAATAAAAAGCTAATATGCAAAGACATGGAACGATGGGTCACTATGAATGCAAAATGACCACCAGGGGGCAGACGCTCAATGCAGGAGCTGCCCCCTGATGGTCAGTGTGCTCCCACAGTGGTAGTGCTGCTCAGCCAGAAGTCAAGCTCAAAGTTAGTTAGAGCCTCTTCTGCCACACTAAGGGATTCCTTGGGGGATGTCTACCTGCTGGCTTAGGGAAGTGAGGGCACAGGGGCCTGGCTGAGGGACCCCCCCTCTCCCCAGAACATGAATGTGGTGCACCCGGCCTCTAGTTAAAACATAAAAGTAGTGGTTAAGAGAACAAAAAATTTGGGTCAAAATTCTGGATCCCATGGTCTTTATGCATCACTTTACCTGAAATGGTAAGGTCTAAGGTCTATTCAGCAGAAAGTTCCCTCAAGTATATTTGTGTTAAACATCTTTAAAAGTGTTAGAGGTAGGAAGAGTAACCATGTAAGTTTCTTGGTGTAAAAAAAACCCCAAGTGTTAGAGGTAAAGCCAGGGTAATCCTCAACACCAGTTATTATTTGATTGTGCTGATGTGTAGAAATTTTGGGCTACTATATTGGGCTGTGTAGAAAGAATCTATTTATTAGAATAATGGTTTAAGAAAGGTCCTTACAAAAGGCCCCTTCATTTCATACAAAAAGGAATAGGCCCAGAAATATGAGGTTACCTCCAATGTCATCAGATAGTTTAAATGTTTGATGATGAAAATCATGAACACTAACACACCACTCCCTCACTATATTCTAGACACTATTATGAATGCCTTTGGTATTTTTTAATTCCATGACATAACAATTCTATGAGGTAAATACCATCATTATGTCCATTTTGAGGAAACTGAGATCAGAGTTTAAATAACTTGTTCAAAAGCACTCACCCATAAGTGGCAGAGCCTCTGTTTTTAGCTAATATTATATGCTGAGAAATGAAGACACCTGAATACAAGTCCTGGCTTTTTCACTAACGAAGGGGACAAAGGCACATAGGAATATTCAGTATAAATTAGATGAACAAATGTGAAAACTATATTCATAACATATTCCATTATGAAAGCCACTGTATTATTCACTGCCACTTTACTATATGGGTACCCTACTTATACAGTTTTGTTGTGTAACATTAGAATATGTCCATATTCCAAAATAAAATTTATTACATCTGTAATGAAAACAACAAAAACAAAAAACTAACACTATTGAGGAATAATTAAAATACAAAGGTTGTACATACATAAGTCTAATTTATGTACATAAGTCAATTTAATTCAATTACCATTATCTATTAAAACATGGTGAAATATAAATACAGCTAAATTTTGTGCTTATAATACTCTTATTAATCAAATGCTAAAATAATGTAATAGCTATCTAATATTTCCTAATTTCTTAATTTCAAGGCACTTATGAGTGTGCATATATTTTATTTTTATAAAAATTCATAAGATAGGTTATTATTTTTTGCTATTTTGAGGAATATGACTTGGAGACATAACCTATGTAAGATCAAAGATGACTTGAACCAAGAACTAATACAAGGACTGTAATTTTAAACTATCACATAAGAGCTATAGAAGCAAAACAAGGGATGTAACCTTTGTACTTAGTGTGTCCCAGGTTTCTATAGATGGTTACCAAGAAAATAATTTAAGATAAAAAAAGAAAATTTGATGATGAAATAAATAGGGTCAACAAAGAATGGCATATATAACAAAGTATTGGACGTGTTACATTTTCTGTAACCTCTATAAATTCTGATTAATAAAAAAAAAACAAAAACAAAAACAAAAAAACACAAAAAAAACAACAAAGCAAAAACAAACAACAAGCAGAAAAGACAGACAAATAGTAGAGGCTATTTTTAGGAATGTTAGGTTAGATATTATAGGTCCAAACTTTTTCTTCTAACAGGTCAGTTTTCACTATTACTACAAAAACAATCGAGTTAAAAAAGCCACTAAAATAAACACCAAATGTTGATGAATCTTACTTCTTTTTCTTTCTGAAGCCCTTGTGTTTCCTGTTTAAGGCTATCCATCACTTCCTTTAATTTGTTGTCTTCTTTCTCTTTTTCCTTCTCAAGGGTATTCTTTCTAGTTGTTGTCTCAGTTATGATTTTCTCACTCTTGGCAGGTATACTTACAAATTCTTCCACCTAAGATTATAAAACAATTTAAAGGTATAGGAGCATGTGTGTAAGGCTGTCTAATACCAACAACATTTGACTTATTAATAAGCATTTCTCAGATTTTACAGGTCTTTGTGCTTTTCTTTGTATTTAGGTTTGAATTAGTTTCAACAAGTACTTCTTTCTCTCTGTAGTAGGAAAGGGTATCTGCAAAGGATATCTGCAAGTATTTTCTTAACCATTTACTGAAATTTCTATATTCTCAGTCTAATGGTAAAGCTACTATTATGAATTCCTGATTCCTTATGAATAAAATTCTCCCTGCCTGGGTCAACTTCAGGAGATAATTATCCTTTCACCTATTAAAAAACTCTAGACTAAAAGAGACCTCTAAAAACTATCCATCATGGTATATTAAAACTTACCACAAATTACTTTTATACCGTAGCTTCCCTCAAATCCCAAGATCTTTCATAACTTGACCCTTCCAGAGTTACCATATAGGACTACTACTTTATTCTATTACTACCAATAACCATTTACCCATATTTGATGCCCAAAGGCCAATTCCTCAATAATAGTTACATTTGGGTATGTGTCCAATTTAGGGGTTATTCCCAAATCCATATAGTATTTTGTTTATTCTGATGATCTAGTAATAGTAAAGTTCAACATTTCCTTAAATGGCATTCAACAAACATTGATTCATGTAATATTTGTTATTATACCAAGAAGAAAGTATTTTATAAAAAAAATACATTTAGAAAATGCTTATAAGGTAAAACAAAGCCAACATTATAATTACTGTATATGAGAGCTTAGGTGTCATATCTATTAGTATCTGATAGAGCAGTAGTTGGCAAACTGCGGCTTGAGAGCCACATATGGCTCTTTGGCTCCTTGAGTGTTGCTCTTCCACAAAATACCATGTATCCTCATTAAGTTATTAACAATGTACTTACCTATATAGTTTAAGTTTAAAAAATTTAGCTCTCAAAAGAAATTTCAATCGTTCTACTGTTGATATTTGGCTCTGTTGACTAACAAGTTTGCCGACCACTGTGATAGAGCAATGAGCATAGTTTGAAAAGGTCCCAAATTAATTATTAGAGTCTGGACCCTAGCAAGGTAGTCATTCTGATCCAAAGTTCTTTATTTTTGAAAACACCTTATTGAAATTACCAACTTTCCCTTCCCTCCTTATTTTATTTTATTTTATTAATTTCTTTATTGATTAAGGTATCACATATTTGTCCTCAACCTCCCATTCCAATCCTCCATCCCCCCTCCATTCCCTTCCCTCCTTTATTAAGGAGGAATTCAATTTAATTTTTGTAAGAGGTAATATTTTTAAGCTTATAATACATAACAACAACAAAAAAATCTTTTTAAACCACTATCCTAGTAAAAAGAATATTATTTATCACCAAAGTAGAATTGCTAATTTGGTAAATGTTTCTCCAACAATATACTATATCATAGAAACATATGCTCTAAAACTCAAAATCAATGAATGTTTTGGGGAAAACATCAGGTTTGGAGATCAATCTTAAACAAATATTCAGAATCCCCACACATTCTCTTAGATAATAAGCGGCAAGCACATCCATAAAAAATCATAAAATCTAGATCTGATATGCAGACATTAAACTTTAAGAGTTTCTTTCCTAAAACCCACCTTTTCTTTTTCTTTTTGAAGTTGTTTCTCAAGTTTTTTAGCCTTACTCGAAGCATGTTTTAATTTTTCTCTAACTTGAACATCTTCCAAATCTAGCTGTGTAAATTTTTCTTTGTTCTCCTCAATATATTTTGTAATTTTATTCAGTTTCCTAGCAAAGCAAGAAAATTATCAAATCATTATTTTTAGATATTCAGATATTTAAAGGCATATTATACCCTGCCTGGACATTTCTTCTATAAATGTATCCAACCTTTTAAAAGGTAGGGTCCTAAAATGACCTATTTTCAAGTTGATCCTAACCCCTCCCTCCAATTTGAGAAAGCCATCAAGTGATTATGAGAGTTATTTTGCCCTTCTACTCTAGATGGGAAATAATTACACTCCCCATGAACTATGATATTTAGGCATAAAATTTTTGTCATAAAAGTAAAACTTAAAAAATCCTATCTAAAATAAACCTAATTCTACTTCAATTACATCTGTGAACTCTTTATTCTTAAAACAATCTGCCAGATTAAATACTTATTTTCGCTGTGAGGTTTTGTTTATGAAATTCTGCCACAAGGGGGTAGCATCCTCCATTATTTTAAGACTTTAGCATTGAGCACTCAAATCTAATGATGACTGTACTGGATGCAGGGCAATTAAATGTTTCATTTTGTCTGCAAAAGGAGACCATTTTATATGCTGGCAAATGTATTATGCTCATGTGCTATCAGCAAGTTTATAATTAAATACATATACATACAGGTAATAAAATTAACTGAATTTAAATACTTATAGTACTTTCCAAAAAATTATTACTTCTCTACATCTTTTACAGCTTTATTCTTAGCTTTCATTTCATTTGATAGCATACTGCTCTTCTCATTAATTTCTTTGGTATCTTCATTAATTTTTTCCTTTTGAGTTTCCATTTCAGCAACTCGTTTCTGCAGGTCATGACTAGAGGGAGAAAAACAAATTGGAGATTTCAAAATTCCATTTTTAAAATTATGTAACGGATTTTAGTAAAACCAGCTATTTCTAAAATATTCTTAACTACAGCCAATTTACAAATACCTGGGACGATTGGGGGAATGAGTGTATGGAGGAAGGAGGGTGGGGGGCGGGGGAAATAGCAAACCGAGTGACTAGAATTAGGAACAAAATAGGATCCATTTATAAACAAAATTATGTCTTGTCATAGGAACTAAAAAGTATATATAAAACTATTAAGTATAGTAATAAATACTTGTGAGCCCACTTACTAACTTAAAGCATGATACTTTAAAAGTCAACTTCAATACTATGGTAAACAACTCCAATTTAATGAACTACATAAAATAATTTTTATACTTCTTTTACTTCACATTGCTCTAATACAGGAAAAACAAAACAAAACGAGATTTGACTTATTGTCAGATACATTAAGGTACTTACATGTAATATTGACAAACATGATTCTTTTTTCTAAATATTTCATTTTCCAAGGTAAGAAATTCAATTGCTATGTTTTTCTCTCCTTCTAAGGCATCTTTTTCCTTTTCCACCATCTTAACTCTGTTTAACTACAAAAATCAAGTGTACAGATTGTTAAAAAAAAAACAAACACTTCAAATGTACAATCTGAATTTAAAGTATGCCAAAATGGGATAAAACATATAAACTGCATTAAAATGTTAATAAAAAATATAAAATCCAATCTAAAATAGCCAACATTTTAAAATAATTATAATAGACAGTAACTTAAATATTTGATTCCTAAAATTTGCTAATAAATGAAACCTTCTGATTTACAAAAATCTACAAAAGATTCACCTTCTCTCCTCTGTGTTCATTCAATATTTCAACTCTTCGACACAAGACTTTAATAGGTTCATTTAGCCGTCCACAACCAATTATATCTTCTAAATATTCAAGCATACCCTCATCATGTTCAGTCTGGCCTTTTGGTTTCATCATAGCAATTTGTTCAACTTCACCCTTTAAAACAAGTCATTATTTTACACTTATTGTGAATGTTTAGCTACATCAACTTTAAATTAGGAACAATTAACAAATCCATTAGTAACCAACAATTAAGTGTTGTAAGTCAGTAGTTTGGAAATTTAATAAGATACAAATAAAAAATGTCCCCTCATCAGGCCAGTGTGGCTCAATGGTAGAGTGTCAACCTATAAACCAGGAGGCCACAGTTTGATTTCCAGGTCAGGGCACATGCCTAGGTTGTGGGCTAGATCGCCAGTGGGGGGGCGGGGGTGCGTTCAGGAGGCAGCCAATCAATGATTTCCCCTCATCATTGATGTTTCTATCTCTCTCTCTCCCTTCTTCTTTGGGGAGGCGGGGGAAAGAAAAAAAGTCCTTTCCACTGATTTTTTTAAAAAAATATATTTTTTTGATTTTGTATAGAGAGTAAGGGAGAGAGATAGAGAGTTAGAAACATCAATGAGAGAGAGTCATCGATCAGCTGCCTCTTGCACACCCCCTACTTGGAATTTGCCCGCAACCAAGGTACATGCCCTTGACTGGAATCGAACCCGGGACCTTTCAGTTCCCAAGCCGACGCTCTATCCATTGAGCCAAACCGGTTTCGGCCTGATTTTTTTTTTTTTTTAATGTATTTTATTGAATTTTTATAGAGAGGAAGGGAGAGGTATAGAGAATTAGAAACATCAATGAGAGAGAACATTGATCAGCTGCCTCCTGCACACTCTTTACTGGGAATGTGCCCGCAACCAACATACATGCCCTTGACCGGAATTGAACTTGGGACCTTTCAGTCCTCAGGCCAATGCTCTATCCACTAAGCCAAACTGATTAAGGCTCCACTGATATTCTTAATAGTTAAAATTTCACATAAGGGGGTAAGAAATATATATTTATACTTCTTTCATAAACTCTTATAGTATACACCCACATATACACAGAACCAAAGGAAGTTCCCATTTACAATGTTCATTCAATATAAATAAAACTATTAATTTTTCTACTAAGCAAGATTAGCCATATAATCTATAATTTAATTATTGTGGAAACATTACCAATTACCGTGTTTCCCCCAAAATAAAACATCATCCGAAAATAAGACCTAGCGCGTGGAAAGATAAGACATCCCTTGAAAATAAGACCTAATGCAACTTTGGGAGAAAAAATTAATATAAGACACTGTCTTATTTTCGGGGAAACAGGGTACTAATAACACAATTAGAGCTCTTATTTTAAAACCAAGAATTTTTTAAAAAGACCCTTCATTGATCATCCTGACTCAAGGTGAATAGTGTTATTAAACTTTCTATATAAATCTGGTGTTTTAAGTTGCTCAAGTACTGAGCTTCATAAGGATGTCTCAAAGTTCTAACTTTCTAAAAGCAACACCATTAACTGAAAAAGAAAATGACCTATTTTTCTCATGGTAATAATAGAAGAAATCCAACTGACTGAAAACTAAAGGTCCTGATACATGACACTGAAAAACTTCTGTTTGCAATCATTAATACTAAATTTTGAATTGTAATTAAAATCTTAGAAGAACATTATATATTAGTATCGATGCAGTTTAATTACAAAGAGAAAAAAAAGAAAGAAATCCACAAACAGTAACCTTTAAGGCTGACTGCCAGGCAGTCATTTCGTTTGGTAGCAGAGAAAATTTTGTCTGAACATGCTCAGACAAAATGCTGCTATTTCACTTCACAGAAGTAGTCTGCTTGTACTTTATATGCTATTTACAACATAAGGGGCAGTCTAGTTAAAAAAACACAAATACTCCTTTATTTCAGAAAAATAGCAAAAACAAAAGATAAAAATTTACACATTTAAAAAGAATATATTACTCTTTCTCAATTTAAATATTTACTTATGAATGAACTCTAAAAATTGAGGGTAAAACTTGCTTATGAAAATGTATCATATTTACCAAAAGCCTCAACATAATTATGAAGTTAAAAAAAATAAACATTTCATTTTAAAATCTACTCATAGGAATAATTTTTAATATTTATACATCACCCCATTTTCTACTTTACAAAGCAGCACATGATTAACAAATACAAAGTGAAATGTTATCCAAAGAGCCTGTTTAGATTTAAGTTGTGTCATGTTGCAATGAAAACCATAATACTTGTATATTTGCTGCATGTTAAAAAACAAACAAAATCAAGCTGTTTAAAATCGGTAGTATGAACTTTAAAACTTCACTTTTTTTTGTTCTTCAGTATGTATGAATTAGTGTTTTAAATAAATTGGTGTTTAAACTAAAATATGTAGATATTTATTTATATTAAGTATATTTTATTCTTCTTTTAATGACTAGCTCTTTCCAAATATTTGCAGCAACAGTTTTAAGTTTTAGACAAGATTTAAGTCTGGAAAAATATACAAAGCTTTGCATTACAATAGGGTGAATGAATCTCACTTATTCAAAAAGCCGTTATTCAAAATTTTTATAAGCAAGATTTATCAATATTGACACTACAGACATTCTGTACTAGATATTTTTTGTCGTGGGAGCTATGCTGGGCTTCTTAGGAGTTTTAATAGGATCTCTGACCCCGAGCCACTAGAAGACAGTAACATCTCCCCTTCCCTACTGTAATAACTTAAACTACCCTCAGCTGAGAACCATCCATCTACTTGTTTATATCTTTTGGGTTAATATTTATAATCCAAATAATAGCTGACACTGGTATTAAAATTATGCCAAGAGAACTCACAAAGCTGAGTCAATTGGTCACATAACTTAAGCACAGTATACATTTTTCAGATAACCAAAAGTTGGTATTCAATATGCCAGTTTACATTGATAAAAATATTCCTAAACACATAACATTTTTTTTTTTTTTTGGCCAAATTACTCATTGAAGAGATGGACTACCACTATTAGGAAACTGCTTGGCTTTGGGTATAGTAGTTACTTGTTTTTGGTAAGGACATACAGTTGTAATTCCTTTTCATCTAACAAGGTTGCCCAGTTGAAAATAAATATCAACATAAAAGACAAGGGCATTTACGAATCCAAATAGTTCCATCTCAGGTCCCATATAACATTCAGTTTTAGATTGTTTTATTATATGGCATGCAAATTTTTTTTTTTTTTTTAACCAGTTATGATCAGATTACATAACACTATTGAACCGACAATCTGTGAGAACATTTAGGCCTCTACTTGTCACTTGACTATTAGGACTGCTATGGCACGCCAATGGCAACCTTGGATATTTCTTGTGACTCTATTTCTTGATGTCCTTTTTTCTCATTTCTTTTTCCATTTTGTGCCATTTCATATATAATCTGTGAGTTGATAGTCTGTGTCCAGAGGACCCTATCTTTATTTTGCAGAAATATTACCTATTCCACAGGAAATTATACAGTTTTAATTTTAGGGCCATAAACTTAATACATTTCAGAGATAATTTTAAAGCATCAACCTGACTTATTTTTTCGTGATTATTTATTACAGACTGTTTAAATTATGTTCAAAATATATCAGAGACATTAAACAACCGTGGAAAACATCAACAATGTTTTTGTGTGTGTTTTTGTTAATCCTCACCTGAGGATTTTTCCTATTCACTTTTTACAGAGCATGGAAGAGAGGGAGAAGGCTGGAGAGAGAAACATTAAGGTGAAGCATACTGATTGCCTTCCACACGAGCTCCAACCAGGGCAGAGGATCGAACTGCAGTTGCAATCCAAGTACACGTCCTGGACCGGGAAGCAAACCAGCAACCCTCCAGGGCAAGGTCCAATGCTCTAAGCATTAAGCCATACTAGCCAGGGCTCAACTATGGTTTCTAAGAGTATCACAGGAATAGCAATCATACTTCAAGAAAATATTTATACTACAAAGCCTTAAATATTAACTTATTGTGATTCAGCTATACCATTCTTTGATAATTTAATTTACAGGAATACAACATAAAAATCTATGAGGAATATATTATGATTCTTTATTCTTATTCAAAAAAATTTAAATTTTAGTAAAAGCACGAAACACATGAACTCAAGAATAAAACTTTCCCCTCTCTAATAAGGCCTACAAGATTCTAAAGACAGACATGAGTGTTTGCATCACAAATAGCCCATAATTACTGAACTTTGAATTTTTACCTAGTCTTAATTTTTTTATGCTCTCCATTTTCACTGTAAATTAATGTCCCTTTATCTTTCAAAAAATATTTTTTAAATTGATTTCAGAGAGGGTGGGAGAGGGCAAGATAGGCAGAAACATCAATGATGAGAGAAAATCATTATTTAAAATAAGTATACTAATAAAAAGGATGATGCTTTATATTGCTTCAATATAAAGTGGCTGGACTGCTTGATACTGCTTCTGGTTGCTTATGAGTAGCCTATTTCCTTTCATAGTTAAAGCTATTGAACAAGACACTTTTGGGTAACTGAGGTATCACTGATAAAGTTAAAAAAAATTTTTGATCCAGCACAAATTTATTTCTATAGATTAAAAGACTATATATAACCCAAATAATCTGCACGTCATGCTAGATTTAGGGAAACTATCCTGGAAAGAGATGGATAGTTAACAACTCAGAGGTAAGTTATTCTGATCTCCAAATTATTAAACAATAAGAAAATCTTGATTCTTGTCTTCAATTTTAATTAAGATTTTATAATATAAACACAAAGTATATGAAGTTGAAAAGTTTGACACCTTGAAGGGAGCAAATGCATCCAAATCAACTAAACCTAACTTATAAGTCACAGTCATCAAAAAATGCTTTTCAGAGCTAATAAAACCCTACCTGTTTACACAGATAGCTATTATAATGGAACAAAGGCTCCCAAATCAGGTATATATAAAAGAGTAAATATAGAAGTATGGAAAGTACAATGGTCAATTATTTTATCTAACACCTTTTGAAATCATGTATAAGTGCCTGTAAGGACAGGAATAGGATTTAACCATCTTTGTATCATTTATAGCATCTTAGCATAGTACTCTTTATTAGGTACTTATTTGAGTGGATTTTTAATGGATTCAAATGGTAGAAATGCCTTCTAGAAGAATGTACTAAAATAATATAAACACTGTAAAATAATTTACCCAATGGACTTCTGTTGAACATGATCCTTGGCCAGTCTATACATTTTATTCAAAATAATCACTATGTCTTAGATGGTAATTATTATATCTCTACACATCCAGCCTCTCAAACCACAGATAGTTTTTAAGTAAACATTCTTCAGTGGGAGGGAAAGAAATAAAAACCACATTCTTACCTACCTTCAAATGCTTTAAATCTTTAGTACAGGAGTCGATTTTGATAAGGAACTAAATAAAAACCCATAGAAACAAGGGTAACTTTCCCTCAAACTTTTAAATGAGGCATTATTCGTTCTACTTAGTCTAATCCCTCTTTCTTTTTCCTACCAGGTGAGTTCCTAAAGTTCTAATCAAATGGAATTTAATCTGTTAACTTGGAAAGTTTAACTTGGTATTAAAAATATTTAAAACAATTTAAATGTTAAGATGACATAAAAAGATTGATATTATCATGAGGACAAATGGCTTAAGAATCTTAGGTACTTGAGAAGTATATAATTAATATAAAGTTGACAATTTAAAAATTCTTATTTTTTTGGGGAAGCTGTTACTTAGCTTCCTTTATTACTGAACTATGGAGAGATCTGCACCAAGGAAAAAAAATTACCCTTATAAGGATTAAAATGCAACCCACTTTATTTTAATGTCTTTGCACATGTGTGAAACTTTGATTAACCCAAGAAAAACAGTAAATAGCAAATTATAAACAAAAGATAGACACAAATAGATTCTTGCAAAATGGTATAATTATCAAATTTATTATAAAGGGATATAACTTTTCATACATAATTATTTAAACCAAATTTTTAAACATAAGTCCATAAAAAGTTAAGTTTTAATGTTAAATCTCCAAAAAGTTTTAATTCCACGTCTGTGTTAACTCAAATTTTATATCCAAAACTGACTTCCCAACATTAAAAAAAAAAAGATTAGTTTGGGTTATAGAAGTATTACAAATGTACTGTGTCTAGTAACAAAAGGTATTAATATAAGTCATTATAGAATGATTCTTATTTACCTTGTACATACATTATGCATGTCTAAAAGTAATATTTTCTTTGTTGAGGAACAAAGATAAAATGGAAAAAGGGGTTAAAATTTTATAAGTTTGTTATTGGAACACTCACGTCCTCCTAACAAAACTTTTAGTATCAAATAAAAATTCCCAATTTAGTGTAAAATCAGTAGGACAAGATACTAAAGAATATTAGCAACTCTATATCACAACACAGTTTTTTGCCCTAATTATGATACTCTTGGTGATTCTGGACAGGGCCCAGAAAAAAGATAGCCTCAAAAAAATTTTTCATACATCTGACAAAGCTATGCTTTACACTAAAAACTTTTAAAAAAGGTAACACATAAAGAAAAGAGAAGGGATTTTTTTTTTTTTTTTAACCAAGCAATTTTGGTAGAATATACCCTTACTCAAATAAAGAATACAGGTTTTCTAATAAAAATCAACTTAACACCAGGTACTTAATTTTATACCCCTTTAAAAAAAAGGTTAACAGTCCTGATACTTAAGAATGAAATATCAGTTACTCTCTGATCTTCCAATAGTGGTTTCAAATAGGCCATTCTAACCAAAACAAAAACCAACTTGAGTTAAGCTTTTGTTACCATTCTAAGTGTTAAAAAAAAAAAAAAAAAAATTAAATTAGCTAGATACTCAGGTAAATTCGGAAACACCAAGTGTACAGAGTCTTTTCTTTTTGGCTATATAATATTAGCAGAAATAAGAATAAGAACAAAAGCAAAGGAAAATAAGTATTAGGAGATAATGAATCTCATTTAAAATTTTATCCTAAAGGGAAATACAAACAAAAATGATAAATAGTTGCTATATCCCTGTCACGCTAAAGCAGCACAATAATATTGGTGTTTAATGTTTATTCCACTACGCCAATATTTACGTGCTGCTAGAGCGGAACAAGTATGTCAGTCCACTCAAACATGAGCATCTGATGATGAAAATATAGTTTTGAATGAATTTCCTTAAATTTCTAGAGCAGCAAATAATGATTCGCATCTTGACTATAGTATGTAAACCATGATGTGCTGCTACAGAACTTTAAGGCCTCAGAAATACAGGATTCATCCATCAGGGAAAATCCCCCTAAACTTTATTGGAAACACACACACACACACATCACAACAACTACCCAAAACAACACACAAAATAACAAAAAACAACCCCACGCCCCCCAAAAGTAATAGGAATAAGAGGGCCTTTAATAAATTTACCTGCAAGATTAAAAATCTATTATGGTCCAAGTCAATGCCATGGCTTCGAAGAAGATTTCCAACATCCTTAAATGTCTTTTTCTTCCCACTTATGTGATAGACAGAAGTATTATCTCTGTAGGCCGTCCTGGATACATAGAAGTTACTGTTAGGAATGACTTCATAATCATCCCCTTCCTGTTTTGAGGAAAAACAAAACCAGAAACAATTTTGGTATTAAGTTACTGCTCCACCTTTTATTCACGTCAACTGAAACTAATTATATGGATTAAAAATTTTAAGGAACATGCATATAAACTCGAAATAGTTACTTTTCACGAATTAACTCATATTGATAGATAAATTACTAGTCCACAAAAACAAAACAAAACAAAAAAACTTGCAAAGAATGATTCAAGGAAAAAAGAAGGCAGGCAGTAATGAGGTGATACAAATAATTTTTTTTGAGGGTGAGGGGAAATATACTTTTAATGAAGGTAAAAGAATTGTAAAAAATTGACAACTATACTCTGCACATTAAAAAAAAATTATCAGGTTTAAAAAGTGAAGCACAAATCTACTTTAAACCCACATGCCCTTAAAAGCTATGTCATTTTGAAATTATGACTTAAAATTTACATGAATAAAATGTAACTTATAGGCAATGGAACAAAATCTGCAATTCAAACTGTATAATAAAAACCTAAGCAACAAGAAAAAAAACCTGAGGGGGGAAAAAAATTAAAATAGGTGCCACTACATAAATTTAAAGCCCTTTATATTAAGAAAAAATTAAAACAAAACCTATGAGCCAAGTCACATTTCTCCTCCTTGTGTAATTAAATTTCTATATTTTTAGGTTCTGGCCATTTTTGAAGCATAAATTTTCAAAGTTAATTATTAATTATAAGAGGGAAAAAAAACCTATACTAACAAAACTGTAACTTATCTGAAGAGTCATTTTACCTATAATTGTCTCCTTTTCTAGAAAACAAACGTGTTAGCTTAACCCATCCCGTTTTAAAAGAGTAGTTTAAAGTGAATCAAAGCTCTTTCTTATCAAATACACACAGAACTACTAATAACATTTGATTTAATGTGAACTGAAATAACAAAGATGATTAAACTTAGGCAACTGTTACATTTCCAAGTTTAGGTAATTCATCTGAAAGCAATAAAATATAACTTAAAAAACAAACCAAAAATGTATAGTAAAAGAATGCCTATTTGGCGCTCAGAACATTAAAACTTCTTGATACTTTATTCCAAAAAGGTAAGCACTAACTACTATGAACTACTTAAAATTAATTTTCCTGGCTAAAATTTTAACATTTTAAGTTTAATAGCTACCACCAACACTCCTCAAAAAGAAAGTATGGTCACGGAGGTAACTAAATCAATAATGTGTTCTGCTTTGACCAGACACTAACTTTTAAAACACAAATTTAAGCCAAAAATAAAATGTGTAATGTATTTAAATTATTTGTATTAAATTATCTGAGTAAGAACTCAATATTGCAAATAACTAGTCAAAGTCCCTTACCTTATCAATTATCTTTTGAAAATGAACTTCCACAGTACAACTCTGAATATCCTTGTGTTCATCAGAATTATGTATTAGTACCGAGAGTTTTTTAGATCTTATTTTTTGTGCTCGATAGCCAAACACGAAAAGCATAGAATCAATAACATTAGATTTGCCACTGCCATTTGGCCCAATAATACAGGAAAAGCGCTGCATAAAAAGAACAGAAAAAAAAAAAAATCAAAGTGAAGTTTAAAAGGTCATACTACTGATTTTAAACAGCTTATTTCTTTAACATGCAGCAAATCTACAAGTATTCTGGTTTTCATTGCTGCATAACACAATTTAAATTTTCTTACTACTTTGCCACAAGCTTGAACACTTTAAAAGACCACATTCTAATTCTAACTTTTTACAAAATTCATTCTAATTGTAAATAGAAAATACTCCCTTCAAACAAAAACTTACCAATTCTATTCAGTGAAAACAATTTTATAATAGGTAAAGAGGTACCAAAGATAATCAGATAAAACAAAAGCTAATTTGTTGTTAAAAGCAAACACCAGGTGTGCCTCAATCAGGATAAATATAATAGTTACAAAACTGAAATATCTTGTAATAACGACTCATTATCTTTCAATAGTTATTTAAAATGGGCAAATACCTTATGAAAAGGTCCCAGAATTTTTTCCCCAGCATAGGATTTGAAGTTCTGGTTTACAATGTGAGTTATCATAAGTCGAGGTGCTCCGGCTTCATTGGTCATTGCAGGAGGCGGGGGAGGAGGGATGCTATTCAAAATCTCTTCTAAACTTCTATTATCAATGTCCTCACTTGGAGTCTCTAAGTCAGACAAGGGAAAGGAAAGGCAAAGCGGGGAGGGGAGAGGGAGAGGGGAGAAGCCTGCATTAGTGCAATTCGTTCTGAGGACTAAAGCCTACTAAATCTCTGGAGATATTGTTTAAGAAACACAGGAATCGCTTTTTTTCCCCACTTAACCAGTATTACCCTAAGCTCATAGGTTATGAGAATCTTTCATCTTGATTTGATTAAGAAAATTCTTCAAAGGAATGCCACCAGTGACAAAACCTATACAAATATACTTCTTAGGAATCAAAACACTACATCCATCATAAAGCAAATCTGGGAAAACCATGGCAACCTGACTCCCTGTTGCCCGCCTGTTAGGGCGGTTAAGTCCCAAGGCTCTAGATCCAACTTTTCCCGGGTCTCGGAGCACCTGGAAACCCCCTTCCTGAGCCCCCCCGAGTCTGTCACAAGGGCTTCATAATGCCATCTAATTACTGGACACGCAAAGGCTACGGTGGCTTCGAGTACATTATCATCGTCTCTTTAGTCTAACTTTAAGACCACAGAAGTGAGGTTAGGGTCAAGCAACTTTCCATTATCTTCATACAGTCATGTTGATTATGCCCGAAAGGAGAAGGAAAAAAAAAAGTCCACCGGCTATTGGCTGACTCGGCCGATTTCCGCGGAAATAACAAGGCCACAAGCAGAAACGGAGTAAAACAAATGAAGCCGCTTCCTCGCCCCCGTCCCCTCCAGGACCGTTACACAGAGCCGGCTCAGTCCGATCCCCGAGAATCGCCAAATCGCTTTCCTGAGCGGACCTACCGCCCCCCCCCCCCCCCAACGCGATCTTGGGACGCCAACCACCCCTGCGGCCCCTCTGCTCCCGCCCCATAAATCCAGCCCGTCCCGGGGATGGAGGAGCGGGGACCCGGCAGGGCTGTCCCGCCGCGTCCGGGCTACTCACCTGCGGCGTCGGGGGCCGGGCTCCCCGCGCGGCCGGGCGGCGGCTCGGGCTCCGCGTCGCTGCTGGCGGCGTCCGGGGACGGCGGCGGCCCCTCCTCCCGGCGCCGGGCGGTGGAGGGCTGGGCGCCCTTGCGGGGCATGGTCGCTGCGGCCGGGCGAGAGCGCGAGTGAGGGAGACGGAGCCTCGGTCCCCCCGCGCCGTCCCACGCTCCCCGCCGGACCCCGCGCCCGGGAGCTCAGCCTCCACCCCGCCCCACGCGCCCGGGTCCGAGAGCCTCTTAAAAAAAAAAAACAAAAAAACCCCACCGCGCTCCACGCCGGCGGGTCCTCGGGGGAGAAGCAAGCACAGGACGCCCCGGCACTAAGGAGGGAGCGATGCGTGTTCCTAAGCAAACGGGGGCAACCTAGACGCGCCCGGGCATCGAGGAGCGACGGAGCAGCCGCTTCGGCTCTTTTCGCGGCTTCAAGCCCCGCCGCCCACGGAGCGAGCGCACAGGCACATCGGAGCGCACTTGCTCCACCAAGTTAACCTCCGCGCGCTGGCATTTGCCGGCATCCCCCCCCCGCCTCGCTCCCGGGGCCGGGCATGCCGGTGCACGGACGCCGAGGAGTTCGTGTCCACCTCAGGTCTGCGGGGCGGCGAGCGCTGCCCACAGCGGAAGGCTAACGGGCGATCGCCGCCCCGGTCCTCCCCCCGCCGACAGCTCCGGGCGCCGGGCACGGCTCGCGGCCCCAAGTCTTCCCCCCCAAGTCCGACGGGGAGGGCGGGCGGAGGCTGGGCTCGGACCAACTCGCGGCTTCCAAATCGGACCCCGGCCGCGCCCGCTCCGGAGCCATCAGCCCGGGGCGACGGGGGTCTGTCCCAGTGGCGCTCGCAGGGGAATCCCTTTTGGTTAAGAAACTGGAAAGGTCGCCAGTGAAGAGCCAAGAGACCCGGCGGCCAGTCTCCTCGGGGAGGGGAGAGACGCGCCGGGGGCGACGCCCTTCCCCTCCGACAGACAGCGGGGCTCGTGCGACCCGCGAGGCTCGGAACCCCCAGCCCCCACCCCGCACCCCGCGCGACGCCCAAGCAGCTCCGAGGAGCGGCGCCCCCGGGAGACGCGCGCGGAAGCCCGGCCGCCGGGGAGCGGGAGCGGCCGCGGGGCGGGCGGGCGGGCGGGGGGGAGGGGTGACAGCGGGAGCGATTTCCCGGCGACAGCTCGGCGCGGACTTCGGCGGCTCCGGCCCGAGGCCTCGCCTCTCTGGGGTGGGCGCGCGGACCGGGCGGGAAGCGGGAGGGTGACAGCCCGGCCGGGAAGAGACGCGCTTTACCTGCGGGACGGCCCACGCAGGCCGAGGCTGGACACGGCAGGACAAGACCCCCCGCTCTCCCCGGTGTCTCGGCTCCGGGTCCTCCACTCGAAAATGGCGCCTAAAATACAAACTCGAACGGAAATTCGTTACAAACGTGCGCAATGCTTTCTGGGAACTAACTTATTTGAAAAAAAAATGGGGCGATTATCTCCGCCATCTTCGGGGCGCTACTAAGCATGCGCGCTCTCCCGGAGGGCGGAGGGGGTCGGGGGAGCGAAACCCAGACGACGTGGGACGTCTTTACTAAGTGAAAACACTCTTTTCCTTGGGGCCTACGGAAACAGCACTATTATAAAAATATTGCCAGGAAAACCCGACAGGCGCGAGTTTTGAAAGAAGAAAAAAAAACAAAAAAAAGGAGTAAGGTTCCGCCCGCAGATGGAGGCGGCGCTCAGCTGTCCAATGACATCCCTCATACGGAGAGGGCGGGCCTTCGCAGGGGCGGGGTCTCGGGCCCGCTCGCCTGACGCGCGGCCGGGAAGTATCGCGAGAAGAGGGAGGGCGCGTTGCTCAGTAGAAGTCGCTATGGTAACGGGGAGGTCGGGAAGCATCTTGGTAACTGGTCCCTCCTTAGCTCTGTGAAAGCAGTCGCCCGCCGTCCCTTTCCTGGAATTTAAGGTAAATTAAACGGGCTTGGAAGTTATGGCAAGCCCTGGACCCCACGTTTCCTGCTTTGAGGGTGTGTGCGACGTGAAGCATCAGTTGTTTTCCGTCTTCCTGTGGGCAGTAGACCGAGCTTTCGGGATGCCACGGAGGGAGCCCTGAATCCGGAGGGAGTCGAGGGACTTATAAGGAGAAGGGAAGACCTACATTGGTGAATGAGTGAGTAGTCCGCGTGTGAATAGCGGAAGAATGATTTCGAGTTTATTGGTGTTAGTCGTTAGTGTCATGGGTGAAGGGCGGTGGTGGCGGGCTTTTGAAAGGCCAGGCAAGGGATGATTGTCGATGACATCTGGTTGACTTTTAGGAGAAAATAGATCAGCAAATGTGGCTTTTGTAGGCAGCGCACTGTGCAAGGCATAACCAGGATTATTAAGCAAGTATTCCTGTTCCCAGAGAACTTAGTTATGTTGCCGGTGAATTTTTAACCCGGAGTCTGTGGATATGGTGATTGGGCTTCAGAGGAGTTCATAGTCGCTCCCCCTTCCCCAAATTGTCTACAAAATTCTATGTTTGTGCATTTTTCCAGAACTTTGACCAGATGCTCAAACGTGGTCTTAATCCCCCAATAAATATTTATTCAATAACTTTTATGTCCTTGATTTTGAGAAGTAGGAGCCTCTTGTTTTCTTTAAATTTTGCACACTTAATGCCTGGCATACTAAGCACCAATAAATCTGCTTTCCGAATGAATTTACATTGTCATTCTAAGTAAGTATTACAACTCTTGCCTGAGGAGCATAAAGTCAGGTTCATTAATTCTCAAAGAGGAACACTCACCGCAAGTGCATGAATCTGGTGATCTTGGAAGATCGGTGTGGTTTCAATAAGCATTGACTTCTTATTTTAATATAACTTTATATTTATTGCTTTTTAAAAAATATGTTTTTATTGATTTTTAGAGAGGAAGGGAGAGGGAAAGAGATATAGGAACATCAATGATGAGAATCTTGATTGGCTGCCTCCTGCACGCCTCCTGCTGGGGATCCAGCCACCCAGGCATGTGCCCTTGATAAGAATCAACCTGGGACCCTCCAGTCCCTAGGGCCATGCTCTATCTACTGAGCCAAACCAGCTAGGGCTATTTATTGTATTTGTAAGACAAACTACAATGAAGCTGAAGGGGAAAATATTGGATGGTAGGATATTAGAAGGTGTAGATAAAGATTCTCTCTGAGAGCTGCTGAAATCTTTTGGGTTTTCGAAGTTTGTAAAACATTGAGAAACCTGAGTTGGAGGAATATCAACCACAGAAATGCAAAGACAAGCCCAGCCATTGCAGCTCAGTGCTTGAGAATCAACCTTTGAACCAGGATAACAAGGTTCAACTCCTGGTCAGGGCACATGCTGGGGTTGTTGACTAGGTCCCCAGTGTGTGTGTGTGTGTGTGTGTGTGTGTGTGTGTGTGTGTGTGTGGAGGGGGGGTTATGCCAGAGGCATGGATCAATGATTATCTTCATTGATGCTTTTATCTTTCTCTCCCTCTCCCTTCCTCTCTGAAATCAATAAAAATACGGTATATTTGTTTAAAAAGCCAAGAGTAGATCAAATTGAGTGGTATATATGGGGGACAGCACAATACGGTAGAAAGATGTAACAGGTAACAGGTAACAGGTATAGGTAATAGAATTCTGTTATAGGTAACATATTTCCAATACCTATAATTTTAGCTACATTCTTGGACAGTTTACTCAGTTTATCAATCTCTCTGAGAGTATTTATTTGTAAAACCAATATGTAATACCTATCTCATAGGCTTGTTTATGATTGTTCATCCAGCACACTTACTATAAGCATTTGATATTGTGCTATGAATGTATAATGGGATGTCCAGTTAGAAGGTTAGCTTATAAAGGTTAGCTTGAAAGCCATGTCAAGGATTTTAGATGTGGTTAAAGGAAGCATCTATTAGAAAAATCTGTGCTAAGGAATGACTTGGTAAAAACAACAAAAATAGTAATTATATGGGATATGTTAAAAGCAAAAGAGACTGAGTTCAGGAATGCTTTAGTTAGATTATTACTGGATAGTTCTCCATATGGGAGGTGAGAAGTCTATGTAAAAACCTGACACATTTTGGAAGAAATAAAATCTGTAGCTTTTATAGATTTTAATTATGAAGCTGAGAGTGCAAACCATTCAAGTCAGATACTATTTGTTTGAATCTTTAAAGTATGATGAAGGGATAGGAAGAAAGATAAATCACAAATAACTCCTGGTTTTACCACTTTTAATAATTACTGTGAATAATAGTCTTAATGACTAATATGTAGTCCAGCCGGTGTGGTTCAGTAATTGAGTGTCAACCTATGAACCAGGAGGCCAAAGTTCGATTCCCAGTCAGGGCACATGCCCTGGCAGCCAATGGGTGAAGCCTTCTCATCATTAATGTTTCTCTCTCTCTCTCTTCCCCTCCATCTCCCTTCCTTTCTCTGAAATCAATAGAAATATTTAAAAAACCAATAAAGTAACTGTGGCTTTAGATTTGGTTGAACCTAACCATGCCCCACTCAAAACAAATGTTTTCAAAATGTACTTAAACCAGGTTATATAATGAAGAAAAAAACATTCATAACGAATAGCTACTTAAATTTAGAGTGAAAAATAGGGCACTCAGAATAAGAGATAATTTGAGATAAGAGTCACAAGAAATAAAGACTGATTGATCCTTGCCAATACTTTGGATGCTTCTCATGAAATTCACACTTTCTAATCATTTTGGTCCAAAATCATCTAACAACCGTTATCTATAATTTTAGGCATATGCAGAAAAGAACCCTTACTTTTTATATTTTAAAAGTAAAATTGTATCCCACAGGGAGAAATAACTTCAGAAAAAAAGTTGGAATTAGAATTAAAATACACATTTGCAATTTAAGTGCATGATTTTGTCATTATAATAATACTAGAGTTCTAGTACACGAATTCATGCATGGGTGGTGTCTGGCTGGCCCACCCTGATGGAGGCCCATCAGACAGGACTAGTGGGGGAGGGGCTGCGGGAGTTTGGCCAACTGGTCCCACCCCTAATTGGGGACCCGGTTCAGGCTGGTTGGCTGCTGCAGTGTGCCTCATAGCCACCGGTCATTCCACTTGTTCCGCTGTTCTAGTCAATGGGGTTTCATAT